TAATGTTTTCTATCTTTAACTTCTATTAAAAAGTAATGTTTAAACTGCTGGTTAGATTTCAAACAGACTAAATAGGGGTGTACAGTGCCATCCTTAGTTGTGCACATTGTTGGCATGTACTCATTGTCAGATACCCACGGCCGAACATTAACATTCATCATTGATTGCATGTTATGTGACATTTTATCAATTGTGGGTATCCGACGATGGCAGCTATGTTCTGTTTCTCTGCACAAAATGGCCCAAGAGTTAAAAAAAAGAAAAATCTATCACATGTACAACTGCCAAAATTCAAAGAGTGATCAGAACCATACACAGTTTTGGGAGACATGTTTTTTGTGACAAAAGCCCTTCAAGTTCATATATGACCTTGACCTTTATTTGATATAAAAATATCTTTGGAGTTAGCTGGAATTGTCATTACTTTGTTATTTTTTACAGATTTGATTCATGCTTGAACAAACAAACACAGAACCAACATTGTTGTGAATTTTTCTGATATAAACTTTGACCTTTAAATGAATTACCTCCAAGGTCAAACAATTGAAAAATTCACTCATATTTGTCATTAACTTTTTTTGTCTATGATTTGATTCATTCTTGGACAAAAAGAACAATTATCATTCAACTATGACCTTTACTATTCAAATTTGAAATTTACTTTATACATTTATATTATGTTTTCTAGGAGTACTCTAATAGATATTACACATATTCTCGCCTACTGATGTGTTTGACTTCCAATGTAAGAAAAAAGCCGAGCATGGCCCAAGCTAGATAGTGGCTCTTGTTTTCAATGCCAACTTGATTATATGTATCCATTCCAATTTACATTCTCACATGTATTATCTATTGTGCTTGAAAGGTTTCTACAAAAAATAAGTTTGTTCTTACAGTCCTGGTTTTATTTTAGAAATATTTTATAGACAGTTAAATTTTCTGTTTATTTTCTATCTGCATAATCATTTCTTGGAATAAATATAGTACACTGATTTATGTGTTATACATTCACATAAGGAAGTACTTTACATGAAAATTGGTTAAACAACTATAGTTTCCCAACAAAATCCAATGTCTTAATTTAAAATGTTTATTCGTGATATATATGATATCATTTTGCCTGGGTTTGTTATTATGTTCTTGGTACATGATTTTCAATTTTGACAAGAGTTTGGAAGCGATACTATTATATTGTGTACAAAATGGGCACTTTTTCAACTTTGAAAGAAGAATGATATCAGATTGGAACACCTAAAGTAGATTGCTATACAAATCTCGAATTTAGCACATATTGCGCCCCCATCAGTGCTTTCAGCACTTTGATTAATTGAGGGTAGCCTTTGTCAAACTGAAGGTTAAACAGTACTTACATAGCTGTACTTTTCTCAGTGCAGGATAGTTAACTGCACATTTTCTAAATAACTTGAAGTACCCTTTTGATCCAGAAATGCGTGTAGCAGGCAGAACACATAATGATGCATCCACATCATGTCGTAGTTTAAGTTATTGGCAATAATCAAAAGCTTACTTCAAAACGTTGACAAGGGTCACTTTGATCATGATCGCTCAGTTTTTGGCGTAATAATGGCCGGTTTTAATGTTTTGTATTTACAGGTTTCAGAGCCCTTAACATCGGACGGGCCAGTGGACCTCATTAACGAACATATACATACAATGTTTCAAACTCCTAGTTCAAAGTACTTTGATTTAATTGCCCGTTTTATGTTTTGTTATTACAGGTCCCAGGGACCTTGACTTTTGACCCAAAAACTGGTGTGGCAAGTAGAACTCATCAATGTGCATAATTATGTAATCCTCAGAGAGATCAATGCACTTTGCTTTAAATTTATGGTCAATTGTAATATTTTGTTATTACAGAAACCAGTGACCTTGACTTTTAACCTCAAAATAGGTGTTGAAGGTAGAATTCACCTAGGAGCATCCATACATAAAAGTTTCAATGTAAAAGCTTAATTAGTATTGAGGTTAATGACCATAAATGAAAACTAAACTAAAGAAAACTAACAAATGCTGATTTGTGGGCCATGACAATAACTCCTATTTATCTTCAAAATGTGGAGCTAAAATGATGTATTTAAAAGCATAACTAAAATTGTTCAATTCTTGGTGCAATTATATGGAAAAAGGGTAGAGGACAAATCACTCTCACATCAAAGCAGACCCTGTGACATTCAACTTACCGTGTAATCAAAAATACCACGGTAAACAAAATATAAAACAACAAAGGTTTTAAATGAATTTTATTGTTTTCATGCAAATTAACAAATAACAAACATTGCATCCAACAATATTTACATTATCTTACAAAAAAGATACTGACAAAAATGAAAGACTGTCTTGATAATGTAAAATGATAAAACCGTGCAACCTCAGCAGATTTGTTATTTGTATACTAATAACATCTTAAATAGAACAGCAATTGTTCACAAAGTATGACTTTACAATAAATCTTGCCTCCATTGCAATACCTCTTAGCAACAACCAATACATTTGTTTCCCAAATGGGGTTGCTATGCAAAGGTTGTACATTATTAAAGGAACTCCACTGAGGTCCAAAATTATAAAAACAATTTGATTTTCAGACATAGATCAGCTGGGGCAGTTAAAACAGAATGATATGCTTGAGATAATTAGGAAATATACTCAGAAATAAGTTAAAACACATATTTTTGTGCTATTTTTAGTCTGATTTGAGTTATAAGAGTGGTAAAGCTTTTTAAATTTTAGTCATTTTTCACAGTAAGAATAATCATTCTGGAAAAACAGAGGGAATGAATGATTTGAAATTTTGAATACATGTTATTAGTCAGGACTTACATCAAAAGGCACATTCATCTTGAATAAATATTGTCACTTCTGTCATGGCAAAAAAACTTCAGTGGAGTCCCTTTAACATGGAAAAATGAAACGTTATTTATCTTAGTTTGTTTTACTTACAGTTTGTATATAAAAAGTTGAAATGTATCTTAATTTATCTTTTAATAAACTATTTACCCTTAATTAAAATACTTATAAATGTGTATGTGATTTTAAAATCTTAAACTGTCCTATCAATTATGTCAAACAATATAATTGTTAAATAAGTGTTAAATTCTAAATGAAACACTAACCATATACCATATATCATATGGGGAAAACACATTCAGAAAATCTTAAGCTGATTTTAATGCAACTGTGATAAAATTTGATTCACAGTGTGTTTTAAAGGCCCATTATGCCTCAGAAATGTTATTTTTCTTTCTCAAAACTATTTTTCTTTTTGGTATCATGTTACATTTCCTTTAGCTTTGTTGGCAATTTGTATAATTATAGTGAATTAGTATTTGTATGGAAGTCAAAATACTACTTTGTCAAACATCTAACATGTTCTAAATCCATTATTTAAATGTTATTAAACCCATGTTTGACATTTCTAAAGAATTTAATAAATTCTGAGGCATAATGTGACTTTAAGATAACTTATAAGATTAAATTTTCTATCATCTTTTAAGTTTGATTCTATTTATAATAACACATTTTAATTAAAACATTTAAAAAAACATTTAGCTAAGAAAGGCTATTGAAAATTTTTAAATCAGCCTGCCCCAACAATATAACAAAATCAGTATAAGAAAAGTCCATACATCAGTACAGGGTGTGTGAAGATAAAACTGGCAAAATCTACTTTGAAATTTCTAGCTCTTCAATTGCACCATTTTCATACCCTGACAGTCATTTTTCAAAAAAAAAGTCGAGAGTGCCTCTGTTAGTTTACACACATAAATATCATTGATAATAAACAAAATAAAACAATTCCCAAATAAACTATGTTATTACTATCTTAATTAAGATAAGAACGAGCCACTTGGTTACATTAAACTTTATGAACCATATTGTTAATCTTACCACCCTAAATATCTTTAATGGACTTGTCCATCTTTCAATCTGGATTAAACTATTCATTATTTTCAGGGAAAATTTTAAAATATGAACAGACTGGATAGCAAACAATGCAGACCATGATCAGACAGCACTGATAAGCTGGCTTAAGTTTCTGAACTGGGCACACTGGTACAATCTGTTGCAGTCTGCAGGAAAAGGGTTTAAGCACATTTGATACACTTTGTAGAGTTCTTATCACAATTATTTTCATGCTAATTTCACACAGCTCAAATATGTCTTTATACATTTATTATTGAAGTCACATACTGACAGGCAAAAATACAAAATTTGTCACTTTAGTGCAATAACTGGTTAACTCCTATTAAATTAAGGAGGACTTTAACACGTTACTGCACCATTGTGACGAAATCTACCTTACAAATGAAGCAGTACTAACCAGGGGTTCAGTGGTCAGTAAATCTGACAAAACATTATTCTGACAAAACATTATTCTATGTTTACCTTTGACAAACAGTGATCATTCATATATAACTTTAATCTATTCATGCATTTTAAATATGTAAGATAACTTACTTACAAACATGTCATGATGCAAAACATATGAACAGCAAAATAGGTAAAAACACAACCTCTAAGTATCAAACATTTATATCACATTTTTAATGGCTTAAAACAGCAATATAAAAAACATTTTTCAATATACAATGTACAAGTTATAAAAAAATAATCACACAGTGCATATTTACACACTAAAATAAATATAAAACATAACATAAAATAAATTCCCCTTTAACTCTATAACAACAAATTTATGTTTTGTTTGAAAATTTTTAATCACTGACATGCCTTTGAGAATCACTAAAAAGCAATAAAAAAAAACTGATAAAAAAATAATTCTTTTATAAAACAAAAATATCCAATGGGATACATAAAAAAATCTTTCTTGATAATAGCATTTACTGTACATAAAAAAGTATTTATAACAAAAAATGCCTACATTGTATCTATAACTTTTAAAGTGAATGAAACACCAGATTTTAAACTATCTAAGTAATATTGACAGTCACTGAACTTCGACTATGTATCAGTCATTAATTCTTTAGCATAACAAGAGCTGTCTGTAGGACAGCACGCTCGACTATTGTAAGTGCTTGATAGTAAAAGAGCATTGGTAATGTTAAATTGTTTAAGTTCACAAAAGGGCTAATTTTTTTTTATAAATTCATGTTATAGGCCTTAGAGAGAGTCTAATTATACAGTATTGGCTTGATTATTCGGAAGGTAATCACAAGGGTGTTTTATTGAGTATAATAATACTAATTACCTATGAATACATAAATTTGACAGAAAAGGTACAAAGGCTTGTTATTAAGATGTTTTATCAAGTAAATCACTGCTTTATTATTATGAATGCATAAAATTGTCCCAAAAAAGGCACAAACCCTTCAGTAGTTATTGAGATAACAGCTTACAAGCAAAACTTTACCATGAATTTCTAAGTTGAAAAAGGGGAGAAAAAGCGGCCTAAATGCAAGATAGAATTATGGATCTTTGTTAGTGACCTACAATTATGATCCTTAATGCATATGTGAAGTTTTAAATAAATATCTTTAATAGTTATTGAGATATGTAAAACTTGCATGTAAACATTAACCAAGAGACTTAAAGTAGAAAAGGGGATATGAATCAGCCTTAATGCAAGATAGAGTTATGGAACTTGGTCAGTGACATACAATTATGACCCTCCAATTATGACCCTAAGTGCATGTGTAAAGTTTCAAGTAAATATCTTTGAAGACCTTTAACCTTTAATCAAAATTTCTAAGTTTCAAAGGGGCAAATAATTCTGCAAATATTGCAGGCAGAGTTATGCAATTTTGCAAACTGATGTACATTGTTACTATAAAAAAGTATTTTAAATTTCAATTGAATATCTCAAGCAATAATTGAGATATTTGACTTTACAAAAAAACTTTAACCAAAATTTCTAAGTTCCAAAGGGGCATAATTCTGTCAATATTGTAGGCAGAGTTATCCAACTTGTCAATCTGATGTACTTCATTACTATAAATAACTATTGTAAGTTTCAATTGAATATCTCGAGCAATACTTGAGATATTTGACTTTACAAAAAACTTTAACCAAAATTTCTAAGTTAAAAAAGGGCATAATTCTGTCAATATTGTAGTCAGAGTTATCCAACTTGTCAATCTGATGTACCTTGTTACTATAAATAAGTATTGTAAGTTTCAATTGAATATCTCAAGCAATAATTGAGATATCTCACTTGACAAAAAACTTTAACCAAAATTTCTAAGTTAAAAAGGGGCATAATTCTGTCAATATTGTAGTCAGAGTTATCCAACTTGTCAATCTGATGTACCTTGTTACTATAAATAAGTATTGTAAGTTTCAATTGAATATCTCAAGTAATAATTGAGATATTTGACTTTACAAAAAACTTTAACCAACGCAGACACCGACGCTGACGCCGACGCCGGGGCGACTACAATAGCTCTCATATTCTTCGAATAGTCGAGCTAAAAATGAGGAAGACTAGCACGATTTTCCTATTTAAAAAAAAATGAACATTCTAAATCTAATCTTTCCAAAAATTGAATTTCTCACAAACAGTTCAATATCAAAGGCATGCATGACTTTCTATGAAAAATATCATGTTCAATTACTATGACTCTGTTTCATTATGTATGCAACATTACTAACCCAACACTGAATTAACAATTAATTTGGAAAATACATGTAGCTGAGGGTTTTAAATGTTAAATTATTTTTGTCTTTTTTCCTATAAAATAAATTATCTCCCTTCTGTTGATTTCTAGTTTTACCTAAATAAATATTGACAAAAACAAAAAGTTCAGGACTGTAGGTTTGATATTTCTTAAATGAAGTTTTTATAAATGAAGTAGCCTTTTCACTGTAAAAGAATAGAATAAACAACAAGTATTTTTGAAGAATACAATCACAGTCATTACATTCCCAAACACGAAACCCATATTAAACTTTGAAATTTAAAACAAGTGTTTCCTCACACAAACAAACAACATAAGAAGTCAATACACTAAAAATAAAATCAATACCTTTTGTACCTGTACAATAAATTAATTAACTTACAAAATCATATATCAGTACAATGTTCCATTGTTATTACATATTGTTATCAAAACACACCCCTAATACTCTTCCCGAGTAAAACACTGACTAAAATTATTCTTATTATCACATTTACTTCTACAGTTCATTAGAATATCAAATCTAACTGAAAGTAAAACATCTTGAATGCACAGAAAATTGCTAAAAACTGTAAATGATTTAAAACAAAGATATGGTAAGATCTAACGTTAACTGTTATTATCTGAAAGTTTGTATTTCAATGCTATACTAAGATTTGGGACGCGCCCATTCCCAACAAGGTCAAGCCTTTCCTTATACATGTACATGGTACCAAAATCAGAATCTATGTTGTTTTCCAGCACTCCTGGTAACGCTATATGCAGAATATTTTTCTCATCAAACGCCATTCCTCCGGCATGATCATGACCGGAAAGGTAACACAGCACACTGTCACTGTTGGCTTGGATTTCTTGCAAGACCTCGGGAGCATTCCAGCACAAACAAGAGGGATCAGTGGCCTCAGCAAATACACCACAGTGACCTGCAAAAAAAAAATAGGTAATATACTACAATTATATTAAATATTATAATGACATGAATGAAAACTAGGCTGTACATTACAATGGCATTTAAGGATGGCTATTAAGCCTTAAATATGAATATGTACATGAAGTTGTCTAACTAGTCTGGGATTTCAGGCATTGATATTTTTTCTGATTCATAACATACACGCTGTTTCATACTCCTTCGTGTATTTGATAATATCTATTTGACCAACAGAAAAGAATCAAAAGACTGGAACCCAGGCTATTGTCTAAGCTGCATCAACAAGTGTATAATACTAAACTGTTAACAGTAAACAAGAGCTGTCGGTAGGACAGCAACGCTCGACTATTCTTAGTGCTTGATAGTAAAAAAAAGCCTTGATTAAAAGGTAAAATTTTCTAAGTAAAGAAAAAGGCAAATTTTTTTCTTTAAATCCATATTACAGTTATAGGCCTTGGAGAGAGTCCTATTATGCTCTCAAAGAAGAGTATAAAATTTCAACATGTTTCAAAGCCTTATGTCAATGAACTTTGAAAATATTTGAGGTATTACAAAAACTTTAACATAAATCCTAAGTCGAAAAAGGGGCATAATTCTGTCAAAATGCTTGATGTAGTTACCTCCTCCTGTCTACATGTTGGGGTCATGATGGTGAACAAGTGTGCAAAGTTTCAAAGCCATATGTTAATGGACTTTGAAAATATTTGAGGTATTACAAAAACTTTAACGTAAATTCTAAGTCGAAAAAGGGGCATAATTCTGTCAAAATGCTTGATACAGTTACCTCCTCCTGTCTACAAGTTGGGGTCATGATGGTGAGCAAGTGTGCAAAGTTTCAAAGCCATATGTCAATGGACTTTGAAAATATTTGAGGTATTACAAAAACTTTAACATAAGTGGTTACGCCAACGCCAACGCTCAGGTGACTACAATAGCTCTACTTATTCTTATCAAATAGTCGAGCTAAAAATTAATAACACTAAACAGTAATGACTTTATTTATTGTCAAAATCATGTTTGGTTCCTGAAAATATTTTGATAAGCTACAAGATGATAAATATACCAAGATAAAGTCAGTCTATAATATTGACTGCATATAAAGCAGTAAAAGAGAATGCAAATACGAAACAAATAGAAGAATTTGATGATAAAAAATTACCGATTATTATCACATTTTGCCTCAATCTCTCCGCCTCTTGTAGATTTGTTCTCATCCACTTTATTTGCTCTTCACTCAGCGCCCCATTAAACCTTACAAATCTTCTCATATCACCTATCAAACCAGCTCCCGAGTTTTTGTCCCTATTCAAATTGTTTGCCATGTACTCATTAGCCAGTTGTGATTGTGATGTATTAGCAGGTTTGGCTAACATGCTTACCTCATAGGTGTCTAGGGCTATAATCCTCAGATAGGGATGTGGTTCACAGGTGTAATACACTTTACCAGGGACTGGGGTACTGTGCAATGTATTCCCTGAGTACAGGCTTGACTTCATCAAATATTCTCGGGTAAAGTTATAGTACTCATGGTTACCCCATATATGGTAAACACATCCTTCAAAATTTGCAAATGATTTCAACACATCAGCAAGCCCTGATTCTGACGTGTTCTGTCTTTTGTTGAGGCCATCAATAGCGTCACCAAGTTGTAAAACAAACTGTGGCTTTTTCAACGAGTCTTTGTTCCAAATCATCACTGCCTTGTCAAGCATTTTTAAAGCTGTCCGATAGTATCTGCGATTTGTTTTACTAAAGTTGTAACCATCATCAGCATCAGCATACTGGACATCTGCTATCACACCAAATGAGAGTTGCGGCTTTTCTTCTCCAGTTTCCATTGGAATTCCTATAATATAATCAATACAATAAAGTTTTTAAACAATGTAAAAGAAACCATTTAAACAGGTATAAAAGTGAACGACAGACAAGTAATTTTAGGTAATTATTATAGATGCAAATATTTTTCACAAACCTATATATATATATATATATATATATATCGGTGTATCGTTGATATTTTTGATCATATACAGTATATATCAAAAAAAACTTAATATAAGCCGTTTTGAAAAAAATTCGTTTAACAGTTTAAGTTCCACACCCCAAGTGTCTGTGACAGTGTGAGTGTCAAAGTTCCAAATTAGCTAAAAATTTTAAAAAAATATAAAACAAAGGAAAAACACTAACAGTACCTGTCTCCAGTAATGAATCAACGTCTGATAATAATAATTCTGGAAATGAATTTTCTTCACTGTATTGATACATCGCTCTAAATGTAACGTTTCTTAAAGTTGTGAAATAAAAGTTTTTAAAAATTCTGGACCGGTGCATCAGTAATATTTATAACTGCCACGATGTAAAAATTACATGACGCACCGTTTGTCACTAATTGGTTTTTAGTGTTATTTCAGTAAATTAAAAATAAGTTGACACGTAGACTCACTACCTAGGTATGTGTATTAAGAAAATTATACTTCATTCTCATAATCCGATTTCATGCAAATGAAAAAAAAAATGTGCTGCAGAGTCAATATTTGTATAATTTTTCGTCCTCAGTAATTGTCAATCCAATTGATTTTTATATCTACTTTAATTTTTATTCAATTAATTTTAGATGATGTGATAATCAGAAGATATCTGTTACAATAATTGTGGACTATATCTCATGAAGTAAAAACATTGCAATATTTTGAAGAGCATACTGTCAAACTGTTGAGCATACTGTCAAACTGCTACATGATACATCCCCCGTTAAAAATTTTCTTGCACAGCAGACTGGCATATGATATCCGTGAGTTTTACCCATGACGGCATGGGCATCTGGCATGGGTGGTGCTAGATGAGTCGCGTGCCAAACAACAATGTCATTTTATCGCAATTTATAAATGAACCACCGCAACCGCATTAAAATGACGTCATTTCGGCGCATTTTAGAAGAGAACTATGTGCTAAGTATGACCATACATGCCATAATTTTTAGACTCATTTCCGGGACACTTTTCATTTGGAGGTGGGGCATTGATCAGCAAACGTATCTTTTTTAAAATTTACATAGTGGCATACAACCTATATTACAGGTATTTACAACTTGCAAATTTAATGACACCATAAACAAAAGACAGAATGTCAATAATTATTAACAGTTTTTCTATCTTTTTTAAGTATTTAGGCATCGTAAATTCAATCAGTCACAGAATAGAATAAAGCTATGTTAAGTAAGGACAATTAGCCATGTCGTTTACCTGAAACTTTCGTTGCATCTTGTGGATTTCATCACCTCATATTTAGCGGTAATTTTCACGGTGTTTGACCACTAATGATTGCCTGCAGGCAGATTAAATCTATACTGGCCAGTTGTTAATTAGTGTATGACACCTTCGCCCAGGAAGCCAAAGGGGGTAAACAATTAATAATCTTTTAATTGATCAAAATTATTGCAGCTAATTGTTTGTTGGAAGGGGCACATAGATATATCAATCAAAGGATAAGCGTCACCATTGCAATGCTGTAAGGGGATAATCGTTCGTTATTAGCGTTCTACACTTGTTTATAAAAACTTGACAATAAAATTATATAAAAATATAAAATTTCTTGCTTCAAAGTAGATTATTTTAGATTTTTTTTACCGTGACATAAATCATCTCCGGGACACATCCGGAACATACACCTTATTTCCGGGACTTTCCTGGACATCCGGGACGTTATGGCATGTATGGTATGACTCATTTTGCCATTGTTATTAAAGTTGTAAATTCATATGCTATTGTAAGAAAATAGTTATGGATAAAATGACAGTAACTTCCATGAACAAATATCTTATTGAGGTAAACCATTTTAAATATGAAGAAATATGGTAGAGTATGCAAGAAAAAATATTTGACATATGTTTTCGGTTCGGATCGGAGTATCTAGCTATCCGTCAGGAACCCGCCCATTAGTGCTTACTTTGCAAGCCACGTTACCGCTGCGCCCCATTGGCTTATCCCCTTGGGACGGATATTCTGATCCAAACCACAACATATGACAGATATTATTTATCTCGATGTCTTTTTGGCAAGTACAATGTATAATTAGCTGGACTACGTAACTTTCAAGAGCCAACTAACTAAATGCAGACTGCTTCAATATGTCGTATATATATTATCTTCAATAATAATTTGACATGTCATTATTTTTACAGAGATCAGTTTCATTGTAAAGTTCAGCATAGTAAAGCAAGAAATAAAAAGAAATCAATACTTTCATCTCTGTTGAGTTGTGTAACATGTGCACACAAGAATAATGGAAAATATTATCAGTATTGACCAAACAATCTTTCCAAAGTGATTATTAATCAAATTAATTAATCATTGAATATACTGACAATTTTAAGCTCACTAGAGCCGAATGATCAGGGTGAGCTATTAGTATCAAAGGGGGATGCTCCGGCGTCCGTTGACTGTCGTCATGCGTCAACAATCGTCTTCTTCTCTGAAACTACTAAGCAGATTTACTTCAACTTTGGTCTGTAGCATCATTGTGACAGTCACACTTGAATTTGCTCATGTCATTCCAATTGGCCCCTTTAAGGGGTCAGCAGAGCTAAGAATAGAAAAACCTTTAAACATCTTCTTGTATAGAACTAATGGATGGATGATCACCAAACTTTGTCTGTAGCATTCTTGGGTAGTCTTTTATCAAGTTTGCTCATATTAATTTGATTGGCCCCTTTTAGGGGTCTCTATGGCTAAAAATAGAAATACCTTTAAATGTGTATTTCTACAGAACTAATGGATGGATGATCACCAAACTTTGTCTGAAGCATTTTTGGGTAGTCTTTTGGGTAGCTTACGGAACGTCGGTGGTTCTACTCAGGTGCCCGTTCGTGCCTGAAATAATGCAGGGAAAGGCACCTGAGGTCTTCCTCCACCAGTAAAGCTGGAACGTCGCGATATGACCTATACTGTGTCGATGTGACGTAAAACCCAAAAAACAAACAAACAAACTTTTATCAAGTTTGCTCATTTGAGGGGCCGCTAAAATATAAAATAGATACATGTAAACATTTAAACGTCTATTGCTACAGGACTTATTGATGGATGATCACCAAACTTTGTCTGTAGCATTATTGGGTAGTCTTTTATTAAGTTTGCTTATATTAATTTGATTAGCAACTTTTAGGGGCCGCTAAAATTAAAAATAGAAATACGTTTAAACATCTTCTCCTACAGAACTAATTAATGGATGATCACCAAACTTTGTCTGTAGCATTTTTGGGTAATCTTTTATCAAGTTTGCTCATATTAATTTGATTGTCCCCTTTTAGGGGCTGCTAAAGCTAAAAATTGAAAAACCTTTAAATATCATCTACTTCAGAACCCAAGTTTGCTTATATTAATTTGATAAGCCCCATTTAAGCTAAAGCTTAAATACCCCAGGTCATGGCATTTCTTCAAATTATTGTTTAAACATATTCTATGCTCAAATTTAATATTAGATTATATTGACATTCCAACACTGAAAAGCAGTTGTTTCTGGTGAGCGACTCAGGACCATCATGGCCCTCTTGTTTTTTTTTATCCCATGAGGAGATTTTTAGACAAAGTGAGCATGCATAATGTCATTTAATGATATTTATTATTATGATTATGATGTTACTATCAAAATGACGATCTGTATCAGTTTTTTAAAGCCACTGACAAACAATTATTGAACCAAATTTGAAAAAAATGTCAAAAGTTATAATGTGTTTGTCAGTCTTACTCTTAAATTAAAATGTTAAGTTTGTAAAAAGTTGATTATCAACAAATAAGTAAGTACTCCATGTACATCTTAACTTTATTACATGATATAAGTAAGTTTTAACACATTAGTATATTCCTAATAATTACTTCTAAATATCATGTTTAATCAGAACATAATTTTTTACTCTATGTAAGACTCCATTCCATTTCAAAGTAAACCCTTTTTTTATTTCAAAATTAAAATAATATTCCCAACAGCAGCCAAATAGTCATACTGTTTTAACTTCGAAGAAAAATTAAACTGTTTTGGACTTTTCTCACACATCTTTTCCCAAAATAGCTGGGAAAGCCCTTTTACATTTTTACTTTGTTTAGCATACAATGTACATAATATACTGTGTAGGTGCAAAAAATTCCATATTTGGTCAGTCTGTGCTTTATGCTGTTATGTTGCTAAATGTCCTTCTTTCAGCATTAAACTGTATGACTTGTTTTCCTTGTATGAATTGAGTGACTGGATGTATACATGTAGATTTTAAGGCAGTTCTATTCAGCTAATTTTATGTCCTATACATTTAATTTAGTAATTGCTTATTATGTATATTTACCATAGAATGTAATTTTGTACATTTCAGATAAATTCCTCCACAAATAGTTACTTGTAAAGGTTAGTATAGAGAATGTGATTGAGAAACATGTATGTGAGTTACAAAGCAAAGTGTTTCACAAATGAATGGGATGGTAGCGGTTACAGATAACTACAGTAGGTTTATATTTTCATAAAAGATTTGAGGACGGAAGGAGCAAAATCATGTATCTCAAGCATCTATTTCCATTGGACCAGTTGTGGAAGTGGATTCATCGGCTTCTTTGTCAGAGAAGATGTTCTCTTACTAGAGTCATTTTTATAATAACCTTATTGATATTAATATCGTTATTATTCATGAGTTATCGCCATGGTCACTGGACAACGGAAACAAAGAGACGGCAGTACTCCTCACCACCCACACCTATCACTACATGTAATTTAATGAACAAACCCAAACATGAAAGAGGGCCAAACAATCATGATACTCAGGGAAACCTCAGAATCGGGCGAAAGGTGCTTATAATGGTGGATTCCCCATTCTCGAGGAATGCCAAAAATATTGCAGCTTCTATGGAATTCTCAAGATTCCCGTATAAAATCGTTGACGATGAGAAAAATTTACCAACCTTAATTCATATGGGTAAAGGTAGATTTGGTGTGATTGTATTTGAGACAATGGCACTGTATTTGTCATTGGACTCGTGGAATAGACAATTGATTGACAAATACTGCCGTGAATATAATGTGGGTGTGATATTCTTTATGAAACCGAGAGGCGAATTGGAGGTTCTAATGGAGAATGTGCAGGATTTTTCATTTTCAGTGCAATACAATATAGCTTTAAAAGATTATTCTTTAAATACAGCTTCTGATGTGTGGAGAATAACGAAACCAGGGGAAGTAATAAAAGAAACATTTCCAGAAGAGGACTGGGCAGTGTTTTATCCGAATCATTCAACATTTGAACCATTAGCGTTTGCTACACAGACAGCATCCCTGTACGATGATTATGATCCTCTAACTGTTATCAAAAATAAAACAGTATTTCCAGCTATTCTTGATACAGGGAAAAATGATGGAATTAGACGAGTATTCTTCGGTCACAATTTTTCGTTCTGGTTGCATTCTTTACTACTGCTGGACAGTATTTCTTTCTTGTCCCATGGGAAGTTGAGTCTTGGACTAGAGCGCCTAATACAGATTGATATTGATGATATTTTTGTTGGAGCTAAGGGAACAAGGATGAAAGCCCATGATGTGGTGGTGAGTACAGAATAGATCTCAAGATTTCATAATTTCTTCTAGCTAAAGCAACATCAGCATAAATTGATTTTTCCAGGAGTAGATACATAAATAATTGTGTAAGATTGAAATTTTGGCATTTCTTATCCTTTTTTTGCTTATAATAAATACATAAATGTCAATAAAAGGCATTTGTATATCATTTAATATCTTGACAATAGGTTTTTATATGTTTGAATTTGATACTTATTCACGAAATGAAAGCAAAAATTTTTAATGTTTTGACAGGCATTGTACGAGGCCCAGGAAAGGCTTAAACAAGAAGTGGATGGTTTCCGGTTCATGCTAGGATTCTCTGGCTGGTATTATCAACATGGTACAGAGGAAGAAAATATTGGTGATGAAACACTTCTCAGTAAGTACTTTATGTCCGGAAATTAGCTAAGTATCCCACTTAATGATGGTTCACATTCATGTATAAGTTTGTTAAATAGATTTAATTTTTTTTAAACTTCTCAGGAGTGAGTGAGTGAATCTAATTAAAACAATTTTAAAGATTAATTTTTTTTGAAGTTTTGAAAAATAATTTTTTAAGGCTATTTATTTCATTATACAATATCTATCTAAAAATTTCAGTGAAATTTTACATATTTGATTTCATTGTTGTTTAGTTATTTTACTTTTGTCAAATTTTACATAATTACGTATACATGTGCTGGTGAATTTGTAATTGCTTATTTAATATAATTATACTTACTGACTCACTATGCAAGAGAAGCCTGATATCTAAAAATGAGCTGCGTCATGATAAAATCAACATAGTGCGTTTGCAACCAGCATGGATCCAGACCAGCCTGCGCATCCGTGCAGTCTGATCAGGATCCATGCTGTTCGCTATCAGTTTCTCTAGGTGTTATACGGTTTGTAAGCGAACAGCATGGATCCTTATCAGACTGCGCGGATTTGCAGGCTGGTCTGGATCCATGCTGGTCGCAAACGCATTTTGTTGGTTTTGTCATGGCGCGGCTCAGATAGTGTTGGGGCAACATATTTATGATCTTGGGGTGTCTGAATAGGTAGCAAAGCAAATAATTCTTCATACCATCAGTTGACAACTGTTTTCAGGGAAAAAAGTAAATTCAAGCCGAATAATTTCTGTAACTTCCAGTTATACGCACTTAGCAAAGCAAGTAAATTTCAAGTCGGTTTCTAACCAGGCAACTGCATTTAAGTGTTTAAAGTGTCGACTGGCAGTTGGAAGGAAGGCATAGGCTGGTGTGTTGATAGTAATAAATAAGCAAGAATTTCTGACAAGAACGTTACAATATAAATTGCATTTTTTCCATTTCGGTGCTATAAAGCCATAAAGGAACTCCACTGAGGTCAAAAAACCTAAAAGCATAAAATTTGAATTTCTGATATTAAAGATCAGCTGAGGCACTTGAACAATATGCCAAAAAATCAATAAGAAATATAGTCAAAAATAAATTGAAAGTTGTATTTTTGTGCTATACTTTGCCTCAATTTGGGTCATATTTTCAAATGGAGTAATGAAGTGAGTAAATGGTTTGAAATTTTGCACTAGAACTACATCAAATGGAACATTTATCATTTAATGTCGTAGAAATTATTTCCAGTGCAGCCATGTCAAAAACCCTCAGTGGAGTCCCTTTAACAATGTTTAATAAGTAATGTTTGTCAATTATGTTTCACTTATCATCAAGAATGTGTTGAACCTTTACTTAAATGAAATTTTATGCCCCCCACAATTTAAGGAAGTAGTTTCCTTTGTATATCTACCCTGCTGTCCTGATGGAATCGTGATGGAATTTTTTTTCATGGCCACAATTACACAAGTAAACCAATCATAATATTTTCACCTTTTGATTTTTTATATCGCTTTTGTTGGGTTTCTTTTCCAGCATTAGTACCTTGAAATTTGTATTTAATATTACTTGCAATTTATTATTTATCTTTATCCAAATTTCTCTTATTTTTGAAAGTGTAAAAATTCTTTTCTATTTTCTAGAATATAGGAATCATTTTAACTGGTTCCCTCATATGTGGAGACATGAGCAGCCTCATAAATTCACAGAAGATGAACTTCTTAAAAATATGGCCCTTAATTACCAGTTTGCAAAGGTATGTTGTAATCTGTTAAAAGTTTTACCTTAATTGAAATAATGTACATACGGGTTCCAATATCTTAATTGTTGTAGTTAACCTGAGTTCAGAAGTACAGTCGACTCCACTTATAACGAACTCGCTTATAACGAATTATCGTTAATAGCGAACTTAATCTGACATCCCCAGCCGATTCCTTCTTTATTTCATATTACATGTAAATCACATCGCTTAATACGTACTCGCTATGTGTAATCTGTTATGAAAGCATGATGCCCCTTGTCTTTTATGTGTTGTTGTCCCACAATTTATTTATACAACATCTCCTACTTATCCATTGGATGAGTTTAACCAAACTTTACAGGATTGATTCTTAGGTGACCATCTACATGTACAAAAACTTCGTTTCTAGTCTGTTTCACAAAAGATAAATATAGATAAAAATAGTGAATCTTAAGTAATCATTTTTGGCAAGAGCTTAGATATTTGGCATGTAGCATCACTTTAAATTACATATTTTTTGGTGAAAATTGGCACCTGACCCTGGTTTTCACTTTGTTTGCATAGACTTGTATGGGAAAACACTTTTAACTTCTCCTTTTCTCTGAAAGTTTACATGTGCCTTTTTCTAGGTATGGATCTTCAAAAATTGAATTACAATGTACATGTAATTATTTTTTCCAAGTAATTTTTTATAATGAATTTTCTTTTAATTTGATAATTAATTTTTTTTACAGGACTATAAGATACCAGTGGTTCATCAGTATGCAGTAGCCCCACATCATTCAGGGGTGTTCCCAGTTCATGAATCTTTGTATAACTCATGGAAGTCAGTTTGGGATATAAGGGTCACCAGTACTGAAGAATACCCTAAACTACACCCTAGCTGGGGTAGGAGAGGATTTGTACATAGTGGAAATAATGGTAAGCTAAGATCTGGAGGTCTGCACCTGAAAATATAACATTAATTATTGAAGGATAATTTTCAATGTACGGAGAACCATATATATTAAAGATGGGAAATAGTCCTTGACTTGGGTTGATGACACTGGCTCACTTAACATCCTTTAAGAAGAGTTAATATTGTAGGGCATGATCATCTGTTTGAAAAAAAATTGTTGTGCTTACATCTACATTATGTATTTACCTAAAAATATAGATAGAGACATTTTTTATACAAATCAATACTTTGAGTAAAAAAAAAGTCATAATTACAGAAATAACAAATGTTTAAAACTGAATCAGAATTTTAATTTTTAGTTGATTATTTGATTTCAGGTATTACCCAGGCAAGACTTGTGGACTGTTCACACATACCATATTTCTTAACTCATACCCAGGTGGTTCCAGCCAGACTGGAGAAGAGTATCTATGGGGAGAACTCTTCAAGGCCTTCCTGTACAATCCAGTATGTATTATTGTTCTTTTGTTTCAGTTAACTGCTAGAGAGAAGTAAAGAAATCTGATTACCTTAACCCATTAGCCAGATGTACACGCCTTTTAACGCCTTTTTTCACCCACTCTTTTTTTATACCCATATGCCCACTTCTGCCTAAAATGATGCATTATGTGTCTTTCATTTTGTAACTCTCAGTAATTTTTTCAAATGATTTAAATCTCCTCATTTTCTTGTTTCAGCTGAATATATTTATGACACACTTGTCTAATTATGGCAATGATCGCTTGGCACTGTACACTTTTGAGAGTGTTATAAAGTTTGTACAGTGTTGGACTAACCTTAAAGCTGATACAGAAGTCTCCCATGGATCATGCTATAAAATATTTTGACATGTTTCCTGAGGAGCAAGACCCTGTGTGGAAGGTGGGTTTGATTTGTTTGATATTTTTTTGTGTTACAGCTATATGTCAGTGGAACTATTGCTGTTTATTCTTGGGGTTTTTTTTTGGGGGGGGGGGGGGTATTTTTACACAATTTTGTAATGTTCAAACTTCTTTTAATCATATAGGATTGTGCACATTAATTTTTTGGAAAAGTAATTTCGTTAAATTTTGAGCAGAATGATAAAGCTCTTAAAATCTCTTTTTATGCCACCGCAGCATCTGCGATGCGGTGGCATATAGCGATTCACCTGTGTGTGTGTGTGTTTGTTTGTTTGTTTGTGTGTGTGTGTGTTATATAGATTATATAGTGAACTTAAAAAATCTTCTTGTGAAAAACCACTGGTCCAATTTCAACCAAACTTTGCAGGATTGATCATATTGGTGAAGGGCTTCCAAAAGTTGTTCAAAGAATTTAATTCCATGCAGAAATCTGGTTCCCATGGCAACCAAAAGGAATTATAAGAATAAATTTAAAAATCTTCTTGTAAAGACCCCAAAAGGCCTAGAGCTGAAGATATTTTCCATAAGGCATTGTCTGGTAGACCTCTACCAAGATTGTTTCAAATTATAGCCCTGGGGTCAAAATGGGCCCCCCCGGGGGTCATTATTTTCACTATATGTACATATAGTAAAAACTTAAAATACCTTTTGTAAAGACCCATAGGCCTAGAGCTTAGATATTTTGCATAAGGCATTGTCTGGTAGACCTCTACCAATATTGTACAAATTATAGCCCTGGGGTCAAAATCAGCCCTGCCCCGGGGGTCATGGATTTTCACTATATGTACATATAGTAAAATTAAAAATTTCTACCTTCTTGTAAAGACCCAAAAGGCCTAGAGCTTAGATAATTTGCATAAGGTATTGTCTGATAGACCTCTACCCAGATTGTTCAAATTATAGCCCTGGGGTCAAAATCCGCCCAGCCCCGGGGGTCATTGATTTTCCTCATATTTGCATAGTAAAAACATATAGTAAAAACTTTAAAAAAATTTCTTCTAGCAATTGACAAATGCTAGAGGTTAGATACTTTGCATGAAATATTGTGAAGTGAACCTCTAGCAAGAATGTTCAAATAATAGCCCTGGGGTCAAAATTGCCCCCGCCCTGGGGTCATTGATTTTCAATATATACATATAGTAAAAAAAAAAAAATCTTATTGTCTGAAGGTACAAGGCTTAGAGCTTTAATATTTGTTAAATGATATCATCTATAGGTACTCTACCAAAGTTGTTCAAATTTTGCCTCTAGTGTCAAAATTAAAAGTGAACTTTGATATCAGCTGACCTAGATTTTGACAAAGTGTATTACATGTTGTCCTTTGATGCAGTCATGAAATTTTAGGCTGTGTGAAATATGACCTTCACCACCAAATTCACTAGACTCAAGTGCATTGATATATTCCTACTCTGATCTTTTATTGAGTTAACAATAGATTTAACCACTAATCTGATAATAAGAATTAGATATGCATTATGACAATCTTCAATTGTATAGAAACAAAAAAATCTGTTCCTACACTACTATTTAGTGTTGTATTATTGCGGTGGCATAGCATTTTTCTCAAATGCAATCTTGTTTATATTTAGATTTTCCATCATTGAAAGCCATCTGTTTCAATAAAACAGAATAAAAATAATCTACATTTATTTGTTAAATTCATTGACAGTATAAAAATACTGAAATAAGTCATAAACAGAATAAGTCTGGTCATAGTGCAAGGTATGAGTGCTTGCTTGACTTCTATACTGTTAACACAGGACCGTTGTTACAACTGCTTTTTGTCTAATTGTTGATAAAGCATACTTTTTAGTGAAAAGGCAGATGAAAGTTTTCATAAGCATTCTGTCCAGTCCACATGCTATTCAGTGATTATTAAAAAATAAAAAATTTTTGTTTCAGAATCCATGTGATCATGATAAACATCTGGAGATTTGGTCCCCAAACAAAACATGTGATAAGTTCCCTAAATTACTGGTCATAGGACCACAGAAAACTGGTAAATTTCAAATTTATTATACTGGTGCCTCATATTTCCGTTGTACTTAACTGTTCAACCCAGACAACAAAAGTTAGAATAATAAAATTCAGAAAATACATCAAATATTGTAGCAAAGACATGTCAATTACATCATAGTTTATTCCATTTAATGATTACATGTAAACAATTTTGTACACAACTTGGCAATTAACACCAAGTAAAGTCGTGTTCTCATATTTCCAAGGCAATTACAATTTTACAGATTCAAAAGCAAAACCAATAGTAATCTTTATATTTTAGTACATTTATACCTAGCCCCAACTGAAAGTGGGGATTTTCACTATATAGCATTTATCAAATATCTAAATGGTTGTTTACCAAAGACAATTGTATTAGAAGGTATGAAACTAAAAGTAAAATGGTGAAATAATTTACTTTGCTCTTTATCTGAATAAAATAATGAATTTTCTCAGTCGTATATGTAACATGTCGATTTAAATACAATAAAATAGTAAAAGTTAAACTACTGGCAGGTACATGAGGTTTAGGAGGCACTTAAGACTGTTTATGCCAAATACCTTGAAATTATGGGTACTATGGAAATATGAGGCACCAGTATACTGTTAGTTATCTAAAATTTAAAAATATTTTCGTTTCTTTGATTTGAGCCAGTATACTTAAATTCAATTCAATTCAAAGATTGTTATGTTCAAACTTAAGAGAAGAGTTTATGTAAAACATTGAGAAAAAGCACTCTTTTCAAACAATGGGTACACAACACCCTTTTTGGTTGATGGTGTACAAAAAAGTCTTACTCCTTGAGAAATGAACAGACTGGCAATAACTTTAGGTAGATTTTAATTCTAATAAAAGCCCTGTGTTTGTTGTTAGTTTAATTTTAAAGAATTTTTGTTAAAGAGTGTACAAAGTTTCTTGATGATTTTTATACGCCCGTTTGAAAAACGGGACGTATTATGGGAACGCCCCTGGCGGGCGGGCGGGCTGGCGGCGTCCAATTTTGTCCGGAGCATATCTCCTACATGTATGGAGGGATTTTAATGAAACTTCATAGAAATGTTCACCACTATCAGGAGCAGTTTCGCGCACATGAACCAGGTCAAAGGTCAAGGTCACACTTAGAGCTCATTGAAAAATGCTTGTCCGGAGCAAAACTTCCACATGTATAGAGGGATTTCAATATTACTTGGCACAAATGTTCACCATTGTGAGGCGGAGTGTCGCGCGCAAGATTTAGGTCCTTGTGGCCAAGGTCAAGGTCACACATAGAGGTCAAAGTTCAGATAAAAATATGAAGATGTGTATATGGACCATTTAGTCATCATTTATTGAGGGATTGTAACACAAATGGTCATTATCAAGACTATGGCTGTGATAAATATAATTTAGGTCAATATATACAAGGTCAAGGTCACTAAAGATGATGAAATATCCAGATTTTGTCCGGAGCATATCTCCTACATGTATGGAGGGATTTTAATGAAACTTCATAGAAATGTTCACCACTATCAGGAGCAGTGTCGCGCACATGAACCAGGTCTCTAGGTCAAAGGTCAAGGTCACACTTAGAGCTCATTGAAAAACGCTTTTCCGTAGCAAAACTTCCACATGTATAGAGGGATTTCAATATTACTTGGCACAAATGTTCACCATTGTGAGGCGGAGTGTCGCGCGCAAGATTCAGGTTCTTGCGGTCAAGGTCACACATAGAGGTCAAAGTTCAGATAAAAATATGAAGATGTGTATATGGACGATTTAGTCATCATTTATTGAGGGATTGTAACACAAATGGTCATTATCAAGACTATGGCTGTGAAACATATAATTTAGGTCAATATAGACACAGTCAAGGTCACTAAAAATGATGAAATATCCAGATTTTGTCCGGAGCATATCTCATTCATGCATGGAGGGATTTTAATGAAATTTCATAGAAATGTTCACCATTATGAGAAGCCATGTCACGCACATGAACTAGGTCTCTAGGTCAAAGGTCAAGGTCACACTTAGAGCTCATTGAAAAACGCTTGTCAGGAGCAAAACTTCCACATGCATAGAGGGATTTCAATATAACTTGGCACAAATGTTCACCATTGTAGGCGGAGTGTTGTGCACAAAATTCAGGTCCCTGCAGCCAAGGTCAAGGCCACACATAGAGGTCAAAGTTTAGATAAAAATATGAAGATGTGTATAGGGACGATTTAATCATCATCTATTGAGGGATTGTAACACAAATGGTCATTATCATGACTACGGCTATGACACATGTACTTTTGGTCAATATATGCAAGGTCAAGGTCACTAAAGATGGTGAAATATCCAGATTTTGTCTGGAGCATATCTCCTACATGTATGGAAGAATTTTTAAAATACTTTATGGAAATGTTCACCACCATGATATGTATTGCTCCATGCATGATCCAGGTCTCCAGGTCAAAGGTCAAGGTCACACTTAGAGCTCATTGAAAAACGCTTGTCCGGAGCAAAACATCTACATTCATAGGGGGATTTCAATATAACTTGGCACAAATGTTCACCATTGTGAGTCTGAGTGTCACACGCAAAATTCAGATCCCTGCGACCAAAGTCAAGGTTACACATAGAGGTCAAAGTTCAGGTAAAAATTTGAATATATGTATAGGGACCATTTAGTCATCATTTAGTGATGGATTGTAGCACAAATGGTAACTATCATGACTACAGGTGTGACACATTTCATTAAGGTTAATATTTGCAAGGTCAAGGTCACTGGAGATGATTAAATATCCAGATGTTGTCCGGAGCATATTTTCTACATGCATGGAGGAATTTTAATGTTACTTTATAGAATTGTTCACCACCATGAGACGTAGTGCCCTGCATATGAACCAAGTCTCTAGGTCAAAGGTGATGGTCACAGTTAGAGCTCAAAGCAAAACGCTTGTCTGGAGCAAAACTTCTACATGCATAGAGGGATTTCAATATAATTTGGCACAAATGTTCATCATTGTGAGGCTGAGTGCCGTGCATAAAATTCAGGTCCCTGCGACCAAGGTCAAGGTCACACATCCTGTGCATATCTTCCCTACTGATTTGTTTTAAGGTTCATTTAACAACACAGTGCCAAGGATAAAAACTTGCTTGCTAGATAACACTTATCCATAATGCCCCCATCTCCATCTAAAGCTTTCGTAAAAAGGCGTATTTTGTGACTATGGCACCCTTGTCAAACTTTCAATTCGCCAAAGAAATCACCCTAAATTAAAGATTAAGAAATAAAATACTGGTCAACATTGATAGTGTTTATTGGAACATTACAATACTGTTTCTTCATAAAATTTTGTGTATGTAATATACATATTTTAGACTTTGTCAGAAAAAGAGGATATTGAATGAGTGTAAGTTCAACACTGAATTTATTGCACAAGTTGAATAAAATTATATTATGCGAGCCTCTGGCGAGCATAATATTACTTTATTCAACGAGTGCAATAAATTCAGTAATGAACTTACACGAATTTAATATTCTATTTATCACATACCCAAAATAAAGACCGTTTAACGTGAAATAAGAGTCATTTTTCATTGACACGTCTATAGTATAATGCTAACATTTAGCGCGTCTTTACACTATGTTTGTATAACGCTTATGACGTCACGTCAAAATACGAGGGTTGTCCCAAAATGTCGTAGACTACATTATTTTCTCTTCAACCTGACATCATAACTTAATAAAATTTACCAGATATCTTCCTTGGTCACTTGTTAATTTACCTTCTTAAAGTAAATAGCCAATATATAAGGTAACGCTTTTTATCAGGGTTTTATATTAAACAGTACAACATACCCGGAGCACGATAAAATATTAGTCAGTGTTGAGAGCATGCTTCTTAAAAACATGCCTTTAACTTCCAGCATAATAATAATTATGGGAAATACATTCCTGTGGAACGACGTCATTCATTTTTACGTCATATCCCAAACAGACATTTATGTAACGCTACTTTGAAAAAATCTGTAGCATAATATGTAACAGCAATGCTATTTTGAAAATTCCCAAAATGGCGACGTCAGATGAAAATGCGGCGCAGCGCGATGTCATTGAATACTCTGTTCAGTTCAAGAAGCGTCCAGCATTAACTGACAACATGGAGAACATTATATTTTATCAAGATAATGCACTTTGCCATAGATCTCAGGAGAAACAGCTTGAACTTGATGTGATAGGTTTTTAGAGACTTCCATACGCCCTTAGACTTTGCAGTGTTTCCTTATGTGAAATCACAATTACGAGGTCACCCTGAGGTTCGAAAATTTCAGGGTACTAAGCAAGGAAACTCGACGAGTGTTGAGAACATTAAAGTAGGACTATTTTGAAAATGGTTATGATAAATGGGTCGCCCGACACCGACAGTGGATCGAAAAACACGGAGAATACTTTGAAAAACATTTTTTTTAAATCTTGTAACGTCATGACGTTTATGACGGCGTGCGCCGGGTATGTATAGGTAGCATTCTTTAAATTTTAATAACTTGGTCATTTTTGGAGGTATTTTGATTTTATTTCGCATAGACACACATAAAAGGTATATTGACTTTTCCCTGGCTTGACGACTCTATTGTTTTATAATTGATTGAGTAACAGACTTTGTCTACGATATTTTGGGACAACCCTCGTATATGCACGGCCGTGCAATACCATATTTACGGAGTCGCAAAAACGGCACGGGTGTGTGATAAATTTATAAAATTGATTTGTGCTGTAACTTAAACAAAATTTTTTTAATGACCTTTCACATTTTCTTCCAGGTACCACAGCTCTTTATACATTCTTGTCCATGCATCCTCTGGTGAGGAGTAACTATAATAGTAAAGACTCTTTTGAAGAGTTACAATTCTTTAGTGGAAATAACTATTTCAATGGTATAGACTGGTAAGTCTTATTTTCATGTTTCATTGATGCTTTACTGGCTGAATTTGGGTATCTTTTTCAATTTTAAGGGTTTTCGTAAACATAATACAAAAATCATTGCCAAAGAGCACAGTAGGACTGCCTAGATGTGAAGGCTGGCCTAACAGTGTACTGGTATTAAAAAGCAGGTTAAAGATTAAAGATACATTTTGAACTTTTGCAAAGCTGTATTTGTACAATGAAGAGCATTGTTTTTATATGCTACTTTCACATTTTACATGAGTTTGAAAAGAAGGCAAACAGAAATAGGTTGTCCTGATGGGCATTTTATAATTTGTATAGTTTTTTTTTTGTACTTTATTTTTAATATCAAGACCTGCTAATTGTTTTTGATATATGGTGCATTTGAACTCCTCACTTCATTTTTATCAACTAGAATTTTTATTTATCATCCGACTTTATGCAGTAATACAGTTATTTATTAATAATTACTATGCCAATGCTTAACTCTGATTAACAGTTTTGAAACTGTAATTTGAGGTGAAATCACATTACATTGTGTTGTAACAAGCGTGTAATGGTACATTAGATTTTTTAGTATATCAGTAAAACATATTAATTAAAGGAACTATATTTTTAGGTATTTGGACTATTTTCCGAGACCTAATAACGCCAGTACAGAGATGTTGTTTGAAAAGAGTGCTGGATATTTTGATAATTCCATTGTTCCGAAGAGAGCACATGCATTACTTCCAAATGCTAGATTAATCTGTATACTGATAAGCCCAGCCAAACGAGCATATTCTTGGTACCAGGTAAAAAAATAGAAATAGATAGAAAATAGATAGAAAAAAAGCCTGAACATTTAATTTGCGTTTTGTTGAGGAAATAGAAATTAATTTGAGTGTGTTGTTTTAGGAAAGTGCACAGTTTGAATTCAAATACACATTAATATATTCACAAAGACAGATACAACATGTAGGTCTGGGTGATGAATTACAAAGGTCAGGGTGATTAATTACAAAGGTCAGGGTAATTAATTACAAAGCATTTGAACAACAAATGGTGCACATATTAAACTGCAATGCAAGATTAATTGATATCTATTTCCATTCTAATATAAAAAAGAATGGATAAAAATATGTTGAACTACTTTGAGCATAGATGTAATTTTCCTGACATCATTTGGTTTATTGACATCATATGTAATACTGTATGACTTGTAAGCATTCCTTTTTTATGTTGCGTATATGTCATGTAATAATGCTCTGGACAGCCCTATCTCTTTGATGGGGGGATAATGTGAAGCATGATTAAATTATAAATAGATTTTGTTTGCTTACAAGCATTTTGTGTAATCACAAAGGATGTATGATGAAGGTCGAATTAACATCTTGTTTTGAAAATAAATTGCTTGAATCACCGTACACGGAGGTTTTTCTGTTTCATCAATATATGATACATGTATATTTATCTGTTTCATTATAAGGTTTATACAACCATAGAAACTATTCATTATTTTCTCATGCCTAAATACATTTTTTTTTGCACTTTGTAGCATATTTTACCACAGTATACAGCATTTTTTACAATATTTACATCATCTTTTTCCAATGTTACAACATATATTTATTACCATATTTACAGCATATGAGAGCACATCAAGATCCTGTTGCCCTTAACTACACATTCTATGAGATAATCACTGCCCTGGATACTGCACCTAGACAAGTCAAAGCATTGAGAAACCGTTGCCTGAACCCAGGAGTTTACGAGTACCACCTAGAGAACTGGCTGGATTATTATTCTTCAAGACAGGTATTATTTTTATCACTAACTTTGTTCAGTAAACATAATTGATTGTCCCTGCTTTGAATTTGCTACAGTTCATTTAAAGAGTGAGAATGAATTGAAACTATTTCCTTGTTCATTATTTTCCCCTTTTCCAACAATATTTGGCACAAAATTTAACAAGTTTATGACTCATCATGGCAGATAAGATGTGAAAACAATTTGAGAACATTTGTCTAACTTGTCTAAATTTCTAAGACATTATTTTAGAGTTATTGCCCTTTGTAATTTTTCATACTTACCTGTACTAGTAATTTTGATAAGAGCAGAAATCAAAGTCAATATGATACACCAACTTAAAACTTGTGCTGTCAATACAGAATGTGGGGGTGAATGTGCCAGGACAGTGGCAGTTAGGGTATTCATTTGTTTGATTCTATGCTTTCAGATATATATAATAGATGGTGACACGTTGAAAAGGGATCCTCTAGATGTTATGGATAAAGTTCAGAATTTTCTAGGACTTAAACAGTACTATGATTATGGGAAAGTATTAAGGTAATACCTGATATCATTGATGTTTTTATGTGGCTTAATGTGTACCTGTATGAATGAAGTGGGATAACAACTGCAGTTTATTCTACATATGAAATATTAAAGAAAAATCAGTATTTTATTTGTTTTAAAACTGTGCTCTAATATATCTTATGTGAAAAGTCACATTGAATTGAACATGTTGACAAGTGTTGCCTCAGTTGTTGTTTAGCAGTTTCAAAATTTTCTTTTAGTAAAATTGATGTATACGATATATCCCACATTTTGTATTTCCAATGCTGCTGTTAGAAATATCAATAATTTATTTCCTTCATGAAATGCATTGGAGCATATAGCTGCTGGTTTGTCTTTTATTCTGTATTTCCTTTGGTTTTAGAGTATTTATTTTATGTCTGAAATCTTTTACAGGTTTGATCAAAAGAAAGGTTTCTACTGCCAGATAATGTCAGACAAGAAGAACAAGTGTCTAGGTGGCAGCAAGGGTCGCCAATATCCACCAATGGACTTTAAGTCTGAAAATTATCTCCATCAGTTCTATAGAAAACACAACATAGCCCTGTCACACTTGCTCGACAAACTGAATGTTCAAAGACCTGCCTGGTTGGAGGAGGAGTTAAAGGTTTGAGCACTTGGGGCTAGAAGTTACAGATTCATATTTCAGCTTTACTCAGAAATCCCTTGACTTTATGTAATAGATGAGCCTGATGAGTTCTGAATTTGGAGCTGTTTAATATTGGCATATGGGATCACTGTTTTTGAAATTATAGCTGGTATTAATATCTGGACAGACAGTACTGATTTGCAGGGTAACCTGGTTAATAAGATATTTATAAATTCTAGCAACGGATCAACAAACATTATAGAATCTGGATGGACAGCATTGATGTGCAGGGTAACCTAGTTCATAAGGAAGTGCTATAAGGAGTTTAATGTGATGAAATTTTTTATGAATAAGCAATGACCGAATGTCATGCTATAAAAATTGTCCTGATTGGCAAGTTGACGAGATACTGAACAGTAATATTAGAAAATAACAGTCATATCTACAAAATGTGTCTCTAAGCCATATAGAATTTTCACTGTCAGCATCCTAAAAGACCAAAGACAACAATTTTTTTTTTAAAAAGTTGTGTTTACAATGGCTTTGAAAGCTTTTAAAAATAAACCCTGCTTGCAAATACTGACACAAGAAAGGAAACGTCCTGCAATATTTTTGATGTTTGAAGTATAGATTGGCAGGATAGGACAGAAATGGATAGTGAAGAATTTGTTAGAAAGAAGGGTTGAAATAGGAATGGTGATTATTAGTTGATGAAAAAAAAATATATAATGAAAAGCTGGGCCAAATGATGTTTAACAATCTCACATATATGGAAGATATCATAAAATACAAACGCTTCAGAGATATTACTTTGATAAACATCAGAGAGCTTATTGGCTAGTTATTTTTATGTTATACCAAAGAAAGAGTGAATGTGCCAAAACATTTAGTAGACAGACTCTTGCAAGGAAAGGAAAAAGGAGAATAAAGAATGAGTGATGCTTTATTTGTTAACATGGTCAGTTTTATATGACATCTTGTTGAATTTGTTACATACTTTGTTATCTTCTGTTGCTTTAATGATTGTTTCTAACTTGTGATTTTTACATGAAAAGCAAGGCTTTTACAGGATAGGGGATTTATATTGAGCACTTTTTTATTCTTTTCAAAGAATGTTTAGTTTCTTTAAGTGTTGATTTTCTTTTTAACAAGAAGACCAAAGAATGTACAGTTTCTTTTATCTAGCGTTCATGTGAAAAAAAAAATATTTTTTTTTCAAATTTTAATGTTCTTTAGAAGCAAGACACTTCCTCATTCATTTTGTTTTTCATTGAAGCAAATCACTTTTTTATTCATTTTGTTTTTCAATGAATTCATAAAAAGTAATGGGGATAGGCGACTATAGTGGCTATGAAGGGGCCTGATTCTCTTCCCAGGGTTTGCAGGCTCGAGCGCAACAAACAGTTGTGGCCATGTTTTCTCATTTGACATTAATTATAGATAGTTTCAGATTTGAGAGTATTTTAAATAAGCTAGATGCTTTGTTCACAATTTAATAGTTAGTGACTCAAAAATATTCAGGCCGGCTTTTTTCTTATTTTTTCAATCAATATATATATATTTTTCCGATTTGAGAGTCCTTATTGTATAATATTTTTCAGAAAATGTTTACATTGGAAGCGGAATTTTTTATTAAATCTAAGATTTTTTAACTTACTTTTTTTCTTCTTCAAATTTTGTTGCTTTAACTTTTTTCAGGATTTAAGGTTATTAATCATGTATTAACAATGTTTCTACCGTGTCATATTTTTTCTGATATCTTTAATGATGTGCCAATATTTTGAGTTTACAAAACAGCTGATTTTCATACATGTCAGCCTTCATAACTATTTTTTGTGCTTTTTAAAAATTGTTCAAATGTTAAAGTTGTTACTTGTTGAACATTATGCAATAACAGGTTGTGAAAAAAATTTGCCAGGAGATAAATAAAATGTCTAGATAAAAGAAAGGGAGATAAATTTTAATGGAGCATTTGTAAGTTAGGTTGTAAAAACTTTGTTGGTAAAAAAATGAAAGAATAAAACTATGGTGAGAGATGATGATGATGATGATGACGACGAATTGCAGACAAAGTGGTAAAAAGTTAAACATGGTGGGAATATGATGATGTATTAATGACTTAAAATGCATTTTGAACTAAATGCGTACAAGTAGATATGCATTTCGAACAAAATGTGAATGAGTTCAATGCAAGTTATATAGAAAATGGAATGAGGTAAATTGGCTGTTGGAAAAAGTGGAAAGAGTTAAAAGATTTGTGTAAAAATGATGTTAGTTCGTAAGTATAGAATTTTTACATCATTTTGTAAAAGCTTGCATGTTCTAAATATCGTTTGTGAAAAATATAGGCATTACCTCAACAATATTAAAAAAAAAATGTATTTTAACTTTCTATGTAAAATGTCGATGTAAATTTCACTTAAAATAATATAAAGAAACTGAAAACGATGTAACTGAGTGACTGTAAACAGTGTTATGCCAAAACAAGTTCTTTTGCCACAAAACATTATAAAAGAAGCAAATATGCTGATAAGGTAACACTATATTTCCTGTCAATTTGTTATAGAAAATATTTATAAATGTATATGTACATGGCCTAGATACGAGAAATGTGCTTGATCTTCACATATCTATATACATTGTAGATGACATTATAAGATAATTCAGTAATTTATCTGTTACATTTTGTATCTGGCAGCTAAAGTACCTCACACCATACTTGTATGTTATAACATGTATAATGTTCATGTACATTTGTATTGGTCTACGCATTAATATCATTGTTGCAATATCAGATATATATCTTTAACCCTTACCCCACAAAATATCTTAAATAGACACATCCAGCGTTCAATCTGGACAAGACAGTCCATCATTTTGTGGGAAAATTTCAAAATATATACAGGGTGATATACAGACTAGTATTAATTAATTGAATATGGATGAGTGCAAACCAAAATAATGTTGCACGAAATTGGCGGCTGATATTGGGTTTGCACTAGTCTCATGGGTAAATTCTTTAGTAGTCAGTAGGCTAAGTATCTAAGAATGACTCTTCAGCTAACACTAGGCTAAGTGTTTGATATAGAATGGTGTGTTCCAAAAATGGTTGTTAACATTTGTAACTTTTATGAAAGGGATAATTAGTATCAAATTGTTCATGCTGTTTCCTCAGATTAAATTTTTGGTGCTGATTGTGTACATTTTTAACACATGAACTTTTTTTTAAATTCTGAAATTTTAAACTATAATTTACTATTAAATCTTGTATACTTAATAAAAATTAAAGCATTGCAGTATGAACAAAGTAAAGAGTGTTATACATACATAGATTTGTGACTTCAATCAATTCTTTTGTGAGGCAAATGTTTTCCAGTAACAATCCAGATAACAAAGTAAATTCATGTGAAAAAGTTGGCAGTTATTTTAAGATAATTAGATTTCTACTCTCCATGGAATTCTTGCAGGTTGTTGTTCATTTTAAAATTACTAAATTGCAGTAACACTGTAGCTCTGAACTATTCAAACCAATTTAAATACAAAGGATCAAACAAAAAAGAATGATTGTCAGGTGAACTTCAAAAGTCTCAAGGATTAATCTATCTTCCAACACCATTCATTACAAATAGCACATTTTTTATATTTTTTTATTCAAAATTGCTAGATTATTTAAGTTGATTTAAATTTGATAACCAAATTTATGAGTTTCTGACTCCACTGAGGTTTTCTGATAAGAGTGGACTTAAAATATTTGTTGAGTATTTGTACCATTTGTTGTGAACTTGTGTGCAAAATTTAAGATTATTCGATCTCTCCACTTTTACAGAAGAATGATTTTTATTGTGAAAAATGACCTAAAAATGAAAAGCGTTTAAACCTTTTTAACTCAAATCGGAACAAGAATTAATTGCACTTAAAATAGATATTCAATATAATTCTGAGTTGATTCTTTTATAATCTCTTGCATGTTTTCTGTTTTAGCCCCAGCTGATATATGGAAGAATTTCAATTTTATTTAGCTTTTGAACTTCTGTGGAGTTAGTTTACTAAATAAAGAAGAGTTTGAATCTTTTGTGACAGAAAAGTAGTCGAGTATAATGTAATATGTTGCATTAGTTTAGCACTTAATTGAGGTCAATCATGGCCAAGTTGTTACAGTCGCTGACTTTTGATCACCTGAATCTTGCCATGTGAGGGAGCTTTCAGGCTTGTTTGTGGAACATTTTGGGTTCTATTCACGTACCCTGTATGTGTCTGAAAAATTGCATTGAATGCCACTTATAGTCTTCCTTCATTAATCTTGAAAGGTACCATATAGCCTTTGCATTGTTGGTTAAGATTTAAAACCATATAAAAATGTATATAATGTTCTGTCTATGTCCTGTTTATAGTAAGTGCTATTCTTTCCAAAATTTTGTAAGGAATGGGAATACCAGTCCTTTTCAGATTTCAAAGTTTGATCTGTACTCAAACTGTATATATGTTTGTTATATACATGTAACATGTTCTTTATATTACTGTATTGTCTTGTTTTATAATGTATGTTTAACATGTACGATTGTATATCTTTAAAGTTTGATATATTACCTTATAATTAACTATTAATATTATTGAAATGTAGATTTACATGATGTATTACTGATATAGATAAACTTAATTTAAATACCAGAAGTAATCCTCATTTGTTCCTTTTTTTTAACCACCTTTTTGTCCCAAAATTGACAACTGCAAACTTTTGGGATGGTAATTTTCGTCTGGGGCCAGTAGTGGTGGTAAGCTTTTACTTTAAAAGACATCTCCTCATAAACCACTTAGGTGATTTCATACAAACTTCACAGGAATGTTGCTTGGGTGGTCACATATGTAAATTGTTCAAAGAATTGAATTCTATATAGAACTCTGCTTGCCATGGCAACCGAAAGAAAAAAAAAACGAAAAAAAACTTCTTTTAAAAATCCAAATGCCTAGAGCTTATAGAAATGTGAGGACTTGATCGTGAATAAAACTAGGCGTTGTGTACGGTTCGTTTCCTTTATTCAAACTGAATGTTTACATACATAGGAAATGACGTTACGTTAAAAACATAAGTAAACAATTCGCGCAAAAGCGACGTTACGTGACGTCGCGCCAAATCTAAAACATTCTCCGGGCCTCAGAAATGCTAAATGTAATAATTGTCATACAAAAACATAAAGTAATGGAATTACTTATTTAAAATCATATTTGAAATTGAGCAACCATTATTAAAAACAGCTATATTTAGATATATCACAAACAGATTGGCGCTATGTAAAGTGTCTGTTTTTGAATTATTTTCACTCTTCTATGTTTATACAAATTGAATTGTCTTTTCACGAAATATTAGCGGTATAGGATAAATATTCCAATAAGTATCGTAATGTCCTATTCATCTGGTTTCTGGATAATTTCCAATGGGGTAATTTGATAATCGGTCGTGTAGTCAGCCCTCCGGATGTACGTATCCTCGCGGCCCTCGAAAACCCGTCTTTTCCCGTTAAAAGTTCATAAACTACCGCAAGGCTCCACTGTAGCCTGGGTGTAAAGTCGTCTTGGACAATAACAACGTCACCAACCTGAATAGTCTGGTTTGTGGTACACTCGACCGTTGGTATTCTCTTAATGACGTCAGATACTCGTGTTTCCAGCGGTGCCAATAGTGATTAATTAACTCCTCACGTCGTTTAGCACGTTGTCGAACATCGTCACCTTTGCTGTGGTAACCGGGAGTATCGTTGGTTACCACAGTATCGTAGAATGGTAGAGTTGTCAGTCTGCGTCCATGTAGTAAGTGTGAAGGGGTGAGAGGCTCTGGATCATCTCTAGCAGATGAAACGTAGGTAATTGGTCGATCGTTCATCATTGCCTCTACTTCGGTAACTATCGTCTGCAGCGTTTGCAAATTAATGGAAGCTTTGCCGAGAACTTTCTTAATCGCTGTTTTCATTACACCAATTAGTCGCTCCCACATTCCACCATACCAAGGTGCTCTTTTTGGAATAAACTGCCAGTGTGTTCCTCTTTGTGTAAGGGCAGTATGAAGATTTTGCGAATTATAGAGTCGCCGGATTTGATTGGCTGCTGCATGAAAAGTGGTACCATTATCAGATATCATCAGTCTTGGTAATGATCGTTTGCTGATGAATCGTCTGAAGGCTAACATAAATGATTCTTCTGTAAGGTCTGGAACTATTTCTAGATGAACAGCACGGGTTTTGGCACACGTGAATAGACATATGTATACCTTCTGCTGAACTTGCTTTTCTTTAATGTAAAGTGCCCCTGTGAAATCAACACCTGTTACGGAGAAGGGTGGTTCGACGATTACTCTGGAAACCGGAAGTGGTGGGGGATCTGGGGGCGGTATAGGGTCTTCCTGTAACTTTTCTGCAAATGACACATCTTCGGAGAACACTTTTCACGTGCTGTCTGATTGATGGTATCCAGTATTTCTGGCGTAAATGGGTAACAGTATGGGCGACACCTGCATGTAACTGATTGTAATGAGCGTCTTCTATTATCAGTCTGGTGACATGACTTTTTGGGGACATAAGAACGGGAATCTTGTTGTCTCTGGCAACTGTGCGTTATGTATTCTTCCGCCACAACGAATACAACCGTCCTTGTCTAAATAAAGTCTTAGCTGTCGAATTATTGGACTGCGTTTTTTCTGGGATTTAAGATCTTGAATTACGTCTGGGAAATATTGTTGTTGGCAAGTTTCAATCAGTTTTCCTTCTGCTAATCTCAGCTCTTCTGTAGATAATGGACAAATTTGGCGATAATTATACGTCACTCTACAAGTTTTTAGTGAAACGTATAACGTATGCCGTAACACGTAAATAACTTGTGAAAGCTGCTATATCTGTTTAACTCTAGAATTTGACGTAAACCAGAGTTACCTCTCTTGTCAGATACAATTTCTTCCTCTGAATTTTGTTCCATCAACGTAGTGAAAGTGATTGCCCTAGTTTGTTCCAAAGTAGGCCATTTATTGTTGTGAATTAACCAAGTAGGTCCATTTTCCATAATGTGCTTGATTGTAACTGGTCGCAGTTAAACCTCTGGTTTGTAAATCAGCGGGATTTTTCTGATTGTTGGACAATATCGCCATTCAATATCGGGGGTAAGTTTTCTTGATTTCTTCGACTCTGTTCAAAATGAAGCGTTTAAGTGTTTTTGTAGATTTCAGCCAACTTAACACTATTTGACTGTCGGACCAACATGTGATTTTCTTGCACGTGAATGCATTTGACACGTGGTGGGTTACACGTGCACCGATGAGTGCTGCCATCAGTTCTAGTCTGGGTAAAGTTATCTCTTTCACAGGTGCGACTCTATTCTTTGCAAATACAATGGTAGATGTATGACCGGAAGTAAGATACGCTACAGCTCCATAAGCACGTGCACTTGCATCAACAAACACGTGTAAATTAAAATCGGCAGAATTTGCTGTATTTTCAGTGGTGGGAAAATATGGTCTCTGGAACTTGGTCTGAATTACGCTGTTCAGGTCGATGCTCAAATCAGTCCAGGTGTTAATGATATCAACCGGGAAGTGGTGTGTCCCAATCAAATTTCTTCTTCCATAGGTCTTGAACTAGTAATTTGGCGCGTACAGTTACTGGGCTAAGCAATCCCAGGGGGTCATATAATTTTGAAGTCTGTTTGAGAATAAAACGTTTGGTTGTTCTCTCAGAGTTTACTATCGTGCGCTGTACAAACGACATCTCGTCATTATCCGGGTCCCATAACATTCCTAATACCTTGACAACTTTATCCTTGTCCAGACTTTTTTCAGCTACTGCGAGTTCACATAATTTACTGGAGTTTGAAGTCCACGATCGCAGATTGAATCGTGCTTCGGACATGAGAGCACGTGCGTACCGGAAATAGGTAAGAAGATCCTGTTCTTGTTGAAAACTTGAAATTACATTGTCGACATACAGGTCTCTGGTAATTATATTAGCGGCAGGGTTACTTGCATTCAGGGTCATGTGTTTTAGTAATGTAGCATTGAGAATAAATTGGGAACATGTGGCTCCAAAAAGAACAACTCGAAATCTGTATGTCACAAGCTGGCTTTTGGGATCTGTAGGGTCAGATAACCATAGAAATCTGGTAACATCTCTATCATCTTCGTGTAGACCGACATGTAGAAAGGCTTTCTCTATGTCAGTTGATACTGCATATCTACCAAGCCGAAATCTTAACAGAAGGGTGGTTAGATCATTCAGCTCTGGAGGTGTGGATTCAAGGCAGTCGTTTAAACTTGGACTTCTTTCTGATTGGCGGCAACTACAGTCATAGACTATTCGTATGGGCGTTGTTGTGGAATTCTTTTCAACTCCATGATGTGGTATATAATGCACGCGTTTTGCTCTGGAACTTTCGTCTACTCTTTAATGAAACCTCTATTTTCTTGTTCCTGTATAATATCGTTATATTTCATCAACATTTGGGGCTTCTGACTTAGGCGTTTTATTGTACATTCTGTTCTTTTCTTCGTAATGTTATAGTTTGAAGGGAGGGGTTGATGATTCTGTTTCCATGGCAACTTCGCTGTGTAATTTCCGTCTGAGAATGAAATACACGATTTCTGGTACTGTTGTAGATAAGAAGAGGCATCGGTATCTTCACAGTCTCCTTTTGAAACACCCATTGATTCTATATCCCAAAATCGAGTGAGGTCTGTCGTTTCAGATACGTGGGTTGCTATGACTTCCATAACATTGGAAGGTGGATAAGAAGTAACCAATGCGGGAACTTACAGCAGTGGGTCCATCACCTCTAATAATTTTGTCGCCAACTATCTGCCAGTAAAAATCAGCACCAATTAATAGTGATATATCGAATGTGGTATCCATGGTAACAGGGTGAGCAAGTTTGAGTCCTTGTAGATATTTCAAGTGTTTGATGGAGTTGCGATATACATTATCGATGGGCTTTGCTATCACGGGAACAATCAATACTCGGATTGGGATTAACATTCCGTCGTCTGCTACTAAATTTATAGTTGCCGTATTAAGATGTTGAACGCTGTGCGCTGGGTCGCCGAACGCTGATAAATGTATAATATCTGTTCCATCAATATTCAATTGAAGTTTATCGGCTAAATTTTGGGTGATAAAAGATCTTTGGGCTCCTTCGTCCATAAGAACATTTGCTTCTGCATATCGTCCATTAGCACAATCAGGGGCTGTCGCAGTTTTTAATAAAACATCTGAGTGGTGGGTTTTTGAAAATAATATAGTTGTATCACCGGCTTCAATATTAGTACTCCAGTTTCTATATAACTTCCGGTTACGTCAGACTGTTGTGTTTCATGACTTCCTATGGCGGGCTTATTTGGGTAGTTCTGGGGAAATGTCGATTTGGGAATTGGCTGCATGTACTAGTAGATGTTTTACCACGTACACTGGCGGCAACGAGACTTGGACGGACATCCAGACACTTGGTGACCTTTACTTAGGCAAGTTAAAACACAAATGTTGTTATACTTTATGATTTGAATGCGTGATCTTAACATCGACTTCACTTTTCTACAGTTCTCCCATACTGTATTTCATCACAGTAACACGCCACTTTTTTCTTGTGCAATGCTCGTCCGGTATAATGACTTCCTTGCCGGTCTATTCGGTGCGCGTGTATAAAAATATGCTGATTAGGTATAGAATCTTTCCTGTTAGTTGTTCTTGTGCGACTCTCTGCGCTTTCCATAATTCAATCTCTCTGTTAGATTTGCGCTAAGTCCCTTGGAATGCGTCCAACTTCCGGTACCATGTTCCCTAGCTAAATGACGTCTGGTTTCCGGTGGTAGTCTTTCAAGGATTTTTGGGATTAATAGATTGCCATATGTATCTTGTAGTCACCTAATGATTCTAAACCCGGATGTTTGTCTCAAGCATATCGTAAAATTGACGTAATTCTCGAATATCGTCTGCTGGAGTTGGTAACTTCAATAATGTCTGCATATATGCGGAGGTGATTTTTTGTTTCTGTCCGTAGCGCTCTTTTAATAAACACAATGCCTGATTGTAGTTTGCATTCGTTAACGCGAACCCGTCAATAGTTCTTGCAGCATCTCCCTCTAGCAATGACTTCAGGTAACTGAATTTCTGCACGTCTGTTAAACTGGGATTGTTGTGCACTGATGATTCAAATGAGTCCCAAAATGTCTGATACGTCAAGAGATCACCACTAAATGTCGGCATAGAAATTGTTGGCAACTTGTGATGAAATGAATTAGACAGCGGTAAGCAGGTTCTGCTTCTAATGTAGTCCATCTGCTCGCCGTGATTGCTGGATGATGGTTCTGTTCGTGACGAGTGGTTGATATTGTCTCTGTCTACGTCTCTTACGGAATCTGATAAAACCTGAAATTTCTTATATTTCTGTAGTTGACGTTTTACACGAATGTTGTACATAGCGGTTTCCTTCACCTCTACTGCTGTATTTTCTGTATCAATCTTGTTTAAAATGTCTGCATCAGTACTCGCCAAAGAAAGCATAATGTTTTCGATTGTTTTTATGAGAAGTTGAACATCTTCTATATTATTTTCTCTAATTGCATCTTCGATTTCCTGCAAATGTTCTGCTATAGTAGCTCTGTGGCCCTCCCTCACTGCTTGTAGTTTATGAAGATTCATGGTGGTTTCGGTTCACGGCACCATAAAATGTGAGGACTTGATCGTGAATAAAACTAGGCCATGTGTACGGTTCGTTTCCTTTATTCAAACTGAATGTTTACATACATAGGAAATGACGTTACGTTAAAAACATAAGTAAACAATTCGCGCAAAAGCGACGTTACGTGACGTCGCGCCAAATCTACAACATTATATTTAGCATGCAACATCTATAGACTGTCCCGGTAGTTCTTGGTCTGCTCTAGTCGTAAGTCTTTGGTTTACCTAAACTCTAATGATGCTGTCAAAGTAAGCCTTGACCTTCTGTAAGTGGAACTTGGAAATTGATTCTTATAATGTAAAATATAACATAAAACATGTAGGCTTGGGATATTCTATATATCTTTAGCAGAGTACCATTATTATATTCCCTACGGTTGGATACAATATGATATACACTTAATGTAATGAACAAATGTTTGACAATAAATGTCACAAATATATATCACGAAAATATCATCTCTGATCGAGCATAAAATTATGAATAATAGAATTTGTACATGTTATCGGAAATTGAAGATACACCAGTACTCAGGAAATGCAGTAAAGTACATAATAACACTGTTACAGCAAGCCTCGCGATTTGGTTTGCGTTCAATTAAAATTACCAGGATGTAATTGTAACACAAATAGTGTATGTTTTTACTTCTAGCTAACATTACCGGCGTATTATTTCATGCACTGAAGTAGAGCCAGCTCGCGCGCGTTCAGTGGATATTTTACATTTTAAATATACACGGAGTTGAACGGTACGTAAATATTTACATATCTGTATTGTTATGTTTGAAAAAAAGCTTTTGCAAATATTTTACTAGGAACTACGTGTCAAAAAATGAAGAATTTCTGAATTGTTTTAAGTATTATTGTAAGTTTAGAGTTGCCAACTGTCAACTTCCAAAAAAGGTCGAACGTGACATCATGTCAGTCTGCTTTTGTATCAGGGACATGATTCATTCATTATTGCTATCATCCCTTCAAAGGCTGATGTTATTATGAATATAAAAATAAATAAATCGTACTGTTTCTCCTAATTTTTAGATCAAATATTGCAAAAACATCAAAAATGGCGGACATGATGAGTGAAAAGGGGATGATCGCATTTAAACTGGTGGACTTTAATAAAGATGGTGTCGTCAATGTTAAAGACAGAGATGCTTGTATTCAGTCATTTCTCAGCGTTTTTCAACCAGGAGATGACCGGAAACAAAAGATGATGAATCAGCTAAATGAGTTCTGGGATAAAATTGTCTTCCTAACAGAACATCCGGATTGGAGTAAATCTTTAAATCCTGATGAGTTTCTAGAAACACGTAAAGATGCATATACTAAAGATTCTACAAAAACCATCGCCGTAGTGCGAGATGCCTTAAAACAACTGATTAATGCTGGAAGTGTTGACGAATCTGGTCACTTTTCTTTTGAGGAATTTAAAACACTACATGAAGCGTTTAATCTAAAAGAAGAGAACCTGGTAAAGGGTATATACAGTATGATTGGTCCTGATGCAAATGGAAGAATTCCTGTTGATAATATTGCAGATTTCTATACAGAACTAGCGATGGGGAATGACGAAGGGAAACATGCACAATACAAAACTGCTCTTGCATCAGTTGGATTTGTGTGACGCTTGTGACAATATAATACGACCAAAATTAACGTTGAAACAAATCTAACTTATTCCTGTGACTCTATAATGCTTTACGCGTTGTGATTCTAAAATCTCTTGTATTTGGATATATGAACTGAATACGTAGAAAATGATATTGTACTTTTATATATAAAATGTAGATCGGAGATAAACGCATAATGAATAAAACTTAATGTGTTTTAATGAACGTTTTGTTTAACGTAATGTATTTGAAAAAAAAACATATTTAAAGTTTCACCATGTCATCGTTTTAATGCTTTGGTCAGTGTAAGATGACAATTAACATGTTTGTGTCAACAAAACCAACAAAAACGGTATGATTTAAGAGCGTTTATTTCTATGTGAATTAACCATCACCAAAAAAAAACAACTGAAAATCGTGTTAAGAGGTTCATACAAGTTGTTCAAAGAAATAAATCGGAAAGGAAAGTTTATTTTGATTTTTTAATGTGAATAGTTTATAACAAAATCAGTTAATATGTATGCCCTGTGTGTCAATGTAAAAGTAATGTAACATTGGTATACAGTTTTATTAGACGCCGCGTGCACGCAGCGGCTATCGTTCATTCGGCAACGGGAACAATTTTAGTCTTGCTATTGTATATTTTTGTTTTGTTTTAACAAAATTACACTGTTTTCAGATTCGGAATTTGAATTGCCCTAATGAAAATATTTTTTCTGATGTTCAACATGTCACTGAGATTTTGATCAGTTGAAATAATCGTTTAAATTTAGTGTTTCATATTCTTTTTATTTTTTTCCCTTTTTCTATTTACCTAAGGAATAACCAATCAATGAGCCAGTCTATTGTTTAATGACGGGAAACAAGATATTTGGGTGTAATCCCTCGCAATTCCGTTACTTAACCTAAATGCATTTTCAATCAATTGGTGCCTCCTTATATTTAAGTGTCAGTGTACATAGAGCATATACAATGCACAACAAACCCGAATAAGTGTAAACTTACATCTTAAAAGTAAAATAGGATTTATTGGAAGATTTTAAATTCAGTGTACAAACGTCTAATTATGACTCAGCCAGAAGGCATTTCTTGACGCCAGGGGTAATTTTTAACGCTTCAAACAGATGTTTCAATCCTTGTTGCGACAGGCAAACATTGGTTTATTCAGAATTTCAGACATGGCATTACTTTGTGAATTTATGCATTAGGTTCTTCTTTTCCACAAAAATATGCAACTTATTAAACAACGGACGCATACCAATAAAACTTGATTAGTGCTTCGGATCTTCAACTGTAATAGTGAACAATTGTCAAGGCTGATTTTGTACATGATTGCATGTGACTGTTCACATCATTTGGCGGCGTCTTTGGTGTGCAGCATCAACATCACACTTGTAATTTTCTTGAAATGTATACATGTATTTGTGTAACTCAAGATAGCTAAACTACCTTCACAATTAGCTGAACATCTTATCATTCATATTTCTCATGTTATTGTCAAGGAGACGTTTAAGAACACTTTTGAAAAAACACCTGATATAAAAGTTAATGAGCCATTTATCCTTTGGTTTTAATTAGCATTGCTACTTAAACAAAATAAATGTAGAAAAGGCACCATCTGCCAAATTTATACTTGCGATTTTATAACGAAGGCGGTTGATTTTATATTCTGAAAGAAATAATTGATTGATTCTCCTTAATTCATGTTAGGAATTTTAGTTTAAACATATTTTATTGCATCAAATGCATGTCGAATATTATACAAATGATGAGCATATACCGGTAACAAAAACAAATGGGTTGGGAAACAATTAAGTTCTAACAACAATCTAGAGTCCCTTCCCAGAAAAGAAATATTATAGAAAAATACTTTTAGGAACTTAAGTCAAAGCAAACAATCATTTTAATCATTATACAAGAATAAGTTTCTTTAAAACTTATTTATTCAATTACATTGTATTTGCACAAATTTAATTACAGAAACTCTTAACATTTATTTTGCCATCACTTTGTAGTGTTCCAAAATTTAGAGTGTTATTCTTATTTTTTAAATATAAACTTAATTATAACATGTGTTTTGCTGCCTTATTTTATATATTCATATTAAATTTTGAGTAGTATTTAAAATTGTAATGTTTCTTTGGCAATGTATCCATTGATAAAAAAAGTACTGGAGGAATGGTATGTATCCATCTATACAAATGTTTAAATAGCAGCGTTTATTAAAATAATTCACATATTCGTATACTTAATGTGTGAAACATTAAAGTTTGACCCCGTTGAAAATTGATCCCATGGGTGATTTTTTAAGTGAGAAATCAACCTGCCAACATTTCAACATTGAATTCTGATAAAAAAAGTCGTTGAAATCTGATCAGTCGTTAAAGTTACAGACGGGTGTGTGCTCAGTCATTCAGAGTCAGACCCTGATCCCACCCAGATCCGACCTTGTTAATTACCATTTGGGAGTATCTCACAGTCATAAGGTTTGTTTGATTCGATCGTGTTCCTCAAATGCACTAATGATAAAATCTGGAAAGAAAGTGATCCCTCGGAAGCATTAATCACAACAAAATTACATAAGAATTGCAGACTCGGTTTGATTGAGTCTGTACATGAAGAATACTGAATAAGTGCAACATCCCTCACGCCTCCTAGCACCGGCTTGAGCGGTACTCAATTCTCAACAAAATAGTGCTGGTATCAATGATCCCGAAGGACCAGAAAAATATAACAACGCTGAAGTGAAGTACGGGGCAACTTTTTACAGCTGCCACACAGCACTTGACACCTGCTTATGTTTTGAACAACGGGGTCTGCACTTCATATGTATTGAACAAGGGGTCTGTTTGTCACTCACAGCACTTATATATGATAGATTTAAATATAACCCGGATGTATATGATCAGATACGTTTTTTTCCTCTTTTTTTAACTAGTGTAAAATGTTTTAAATAATTATAACGAGTGGTGCATCCGGGATCTCAAGTTAGAGTAATATTTTTTTTTAAGTAGACAGATAGTTGTAAAAGTAATGCACATTTTCAATGTGTGAATTGGTGCATTCTTGTGATCTTTGCGTCTGTGTTCTACCTTATTTTATCAGTTAGGGGTACGTGCTAGAAAAGTTGATTTCATAAGGTTTTTAGTTGTGTAGCTAAATCAAAATTGATAGTATACATAATCTTACGTGTTGGGGATGGGACTAAACTTCTATAATTTATAGATGTATGCATTTTCATGTCAGTTGATTAAATGGTACGCAAATAAGATTAACATTTGAATAATTTGATTGACTGATATGTTATGATCGTTGACTTTGAAGCTGCGCTGTCCGGGGTGCCATCCAATGAATTCGCTAGTGATGACAGTTTAATTCTAGCGGACATAATATTTTTTTTAAATAAAACATACAATGTAATATATTTGTTCACTATCGCGTTAGCAGCATTTACACAATGTATTACAACCTATTATACTGCACAACAATTTTTAGAACGTGGCACGTACCATACTTGCTATTATATTTGACATATTCCCCTGTATTAAAGCTACTTTCCGTTCAGTCTTGTACTCTGACATAGTTTTAGCGAATGTGCAGCATTTACATCATGTTATATTTAAAATTGGTATGTATATAAAATTCCTATTTCTAAAAGAGAAGTTTAGCTATGGAGAGAACTGTTTGGAAATATTATTCCACTTCGGTAAAGAATATATTGTCATTGATAAATATATTTTACATTATCATGTCAGAAATTCATTGTGTTGTGTTGAAACTTCACAGGTCAATAACGCACAATAGTTTTAATGCCATAATAATATAAAATATATGATAGTTATATTCTGTCATGTATTTATCAAAAATAACATAATTATTAGATACTTTAATATTCTTTTAACTTTATTATGATCAACGTCTATATTTATAAAAACAATACTTAGAGTGTATGTTTTAAATTAATGTTACTCTTAAAAATATCATGCGAAAGAGTCAACTTTTAATTTGTATTTATCTGCTTATATTGTATGTTTTTACTGATATATTATTTCATTGAACTCGTTTTTCTACATGTTAAAGTATGCTTGAACTAAACACAAAAAGTAATTAAACAATAATAATAATTCGGGACCTTTTTTAGCTCGACTATTCGATAAGCATAAGTAGAGCTATTGCAGTCACCCGAGCGTCGGCGTCGGCGTCGGCGTAACCACTTATGTTAAAGTTTTTGTAATAGTTCAAATATTTTCAAAGTCCATTGACATATGGCTTTGAAACTTTGCACACTTGTTCACCATCATGACCCCAACCTGTAGACAGGAGGAGGTAACTCTATCAAGCATTTTGACAGAATTATGCCCCTTTTTCGACTTAGAATTTACGCTAAAGTTTTTGTAATACCTCAAATATTTTCAAAGTCCACTGACATATGGCTTTGAAACTTTGCACATTTGTTCACCATCATGACCCCAACCTGTAGACAGGAGGAGGTAACTCTATCAAGCATTTTGACAGAATTATGCCCCTTTTTCGACTTAGAATTCATGTTAAAGTTTTTGTAATACCTTAAATATTTTTCAAGTCCATTGACATATGGCTTTGAAACTTTGCACACTTGTTCACCATCATGACCCAACTTGTAGACAGGAGGAGGTAACTGTATCAAGCATTTTGACAGAATTATGCCCCTTTTTCGACTTAGAATTTATGTTAAAGTTTTTGTAATACCTCAAATATTTTCAAAGTTCATTGACATATGGCTTTGAAACTTTGCACACTTGTTCACCATCATTTCCCCAACCTGTAAAAAGGAGGAGGTAACTGTATCAAGCATTTTTTTTACTATCAAGCACTTAGAATAGTCGAGCGTTGCTGTCCTACCGACAGCTCTTGTTTAATCTAGCAACTGTGCTTTATTCGCTACTTTCCCTCGACTTTGCCAAATCAGAGGAGGACACATGTGGATGATATAAAAGTTTTCTTGAAATAATGCACAAATGCAGACGGACGACACAAGCAAACGAATATTGTAATACCCGAGTTAATTGCGGGATATTCCAATGGTTTGGTTGAGCTAACGGAAACTGAACTGGAGAAGGATTTAGCAGCATATTGCAGGTAAGTTTTAAACCATTCATTAATTATTTCTCATTCATCGCTTTTTTCAGGTGACAATCATATACCATGTTAAATTATAAAACACATATTTGCCACTTTGATGACAACATGACAAAATTGTACTCATTTTCAAATCATTATGTATTAGAAAGGTATAAAAATAGTAAAATCTTAAAGAAGGAAGCACACGAAAATATACCATAAACAAATAATCTATCTGAATTTTAACTGTGGTCTTCCGACATATAAGGTTCACGTGTTCTGAATGCTGATCATCACTACTTTTTTTCTGTTCTATGTGAAATGCATTAATTCATTTTCAGAAACATAACACCGATGTATGCAAAATGTATCGAGAAGTCAGCAGCAATGCAAAATTGTCACAGCTCCCAATACATTTTTGATATAAATGAACTAACCAACGACTGGTTGTCTATATACTGCAACAATGATGATATAAGCGACTGGCTAAAAGAATGTAAGCGTTAGGGGCATAATCGAAGTGTGTACTTAAGTGTGGTATTGAAACATCGAATATAATAACAGTGTGAATTGAACATATCGAAAAAAGCAAAAGGTTGAATACATTTGCAGATGTTTCTATGTTTACTGGTGATTTCTTCTAAAACCGGTGGTAGAGGGCGTGGACGTTAGCTTATACTTTAGTACCGTCCATGAAAATGCTCAGTCAAACAGATCAATTACTTGACGTTTTGGTGTTCTTAAGGGATTCCTCTATTTTCTTTGTTTCCGATGAATCTACAAAATGCTTTACCATGTATGCAAAGTAGGAAAGCGATGCTTAAGATCGATAAGTAGAACATTATGATTTATGATGAATTATTTTTGAAGCAAATTATTGACTATCGTTATATGTGTGAAAGAAAACATGAATTTCTACAGACTTTTAATAGATTGTCTTCCAAATTGTAACAGTTTATTCGTTGTTTCTTTCATTTCATTAAATTTCAAAACATCTACATAGTAAATTGTATGTTGATATTGAATCTTTTTTCTCAGATTTAAGACACGTCTTTACCTACAAATACACATGTGGTAGAAACGATAGTTGCTACACTTGCTTTTTTGATCTTGTCTACAACAGAGGTATTATTCTTAATATCAATATGTAAATCTTTTTTAATTTTCGTGCTAAAGATTTGTCGTCTCGTAACTCTCGCAATTGGCATGTTTGTTTAAGTAATGGTGTACGATATTGATATCATATTACACACTTATCATTAATGCCATCTTGATATCGCCATGTGTCACCAACGTTTACACTTACTAATACTTTAAAGTACTAAATGTATATAAAAGTGAATTAAAACCTGCAGTAGTGTATGTAATGATTGCATACAGTGTAGTACAGCAGTATATAAAAAACGAACAAAAAAGCAAAAAACAAACACGTTTTCTTTTGATTTGGGTAATTCTTATAAAATGTACATTCAAAATTCATCGTCAATTTATCAATTCTGGTTTATTTTACTTTAATTTTAAAGGATATATGAATGTCTTAATTTTTACATGTTTATAATTATGATATTTGAAATTTTTTGTCTTCGATTTAGATGATCATTCTGGTGAAAATATCAGGGATTACAATATATGGGCAAAAAGGTAACACTTAATCTTTTAGATCTAAATATTTCTTTGTTTTCTTGCTATTGACTCCCTTACATTGTTCCTTAATATACTTTGTTTATCATATTGTAAGTATGGCAAGCTTCATAACTCAATTGCTGAGTGAGCGTTTAGTTATAAATCAAAGTATATAAACCTATATATTTACTAGAAAAATAATGTTATTTGAATTTTGAACAAATATTACACTTCCACAACACTTGTATGAAAGAATTCTGTTTGTATTTTTCCTCAAGAGCGAATGGCGCATGTAAGACATAATTGCTAAACACTTAAAACCCTACTTAAAAGAGCAGGATAATATTTCGTTCTGAAACATTCTGTTTACATACAATATGTACGAGGGTTATTAAAAAGTAATAGGACTGCAGCTCTACTGTTTACGTATGTTTGTTAAATTACAAACTTTGTCGAGAATTGGCCATAAGTTGATGTAAGCAACATAATTTTATACTGTTCATACACTTTATTTTATAAAAATCATTAAATTTGAATTTATACCCTTTAAAAGAAAGCTATAAATCTATATAGGAGTATAAATTATACTTACTTATATTGCTGTCTTCAGTTTGATTACATTGAGGAAAAATATAATACAAAAAGTAACTGCATTAACCCTATTATGTACAAAATATCACACAATTATTTTTTTTCAATGATAGATTGACTGCTGATTGGTTTGCCTGCACCAAGGAGAAACTCCCTTTGACACAGGCCTCGTTTCCAGATTGTACCTCTAGTTAGCAGGATGTCTTATTTCTAACATTCTTGTATGAATCTGTTCGTTTTAATCCAGGACTGCGACTTTATAAGGACCAAGGGATCCAAATCTTGGTGAGCATAGAACAGTCTAAACATTTTTTACTAGTTTTTTATGGCGACAAAAACAGGAATGTTTGAAATGCAAGATATGTATCGTTTATGTCCCTAAATTGTGAATTTCTCATTTTCATTGAATGAATGTAAGTCCATTTGAGACTGATGACAATTTCAAATGCTATTTTTTGCTTATAGTGTTGCGGTTTGAGAGGAAAAAAAATTGAGAGGGGTAGTGTCACTGGATCATTTAACCGTAACCATGTTCTCATTTCCGGAATTATCACTATATTACAAAGTACCCGACTGTCTGGGTGCGCAGGATAAAATTACTTCATGATAATGTACCTGCGCACATGTCAATCTTAATTCAATTTTGCTACATCCCGCTTATAGTCCCGACCTCTTTCCTTGTGAATTTTGGTTAAATTCATATATCAAATCATGCGTTCACTACCCGTAGTGCCGTCGGAAGCGCTCTCTACCAGTGTATAAACAATATACCCAAAGAACATTTCAAAAATGCTTTTTGGAATGGATTCTGAGGCTGGAAAAGTGTGTAGAGGTCCATAGCGAATATTTTGAAGGGAACTACTACTCTTTTTTTACAGGTATGAATTAGTTATAAAAACGCGCTGTCATTGCCACTAATTAAAATATGCTCCTCGAAATCAAATTACTTTTGTCTTTATACCGATCACAATTACAGAAGTGACAAAATGGTAAGATTTATTTTGTCTTACCTCCTAATGTGACTATATCAATTTTAATAGCTTGACTATGACACCCGAAATTCTATTATATTCAATGTTGCTAAACCCTTATTTATCTTTGGTTTTCCTGAATTCTACTGATACTGTCAAAAGTAAGCGATATATAGGGTCATCTTGAACTTCTGCAAGTGGTCCTTAAAATTTTATTCTTATAATGTAAAATATAGCATAAAACAAGTAGGCTGCTTGGGATATTCCATATATCTTTTAGCATTCCATATATTCCCTACGATCAGATACAATATGAAATACACCTAATATAATGAACAAGTGTTTGTTTGACAATGCATGTCATAAATAAATAAATAATCAATCTATCACGTAAACCTGATCTCTGTGAGCATATATACTTTTACAGAAAATGTCATGAATAAATAATTCTGTAATGTTTCATGCGATATTTGAAGGTAACCAGAATCTGGCATGCAGTAAAGTGAGTGTAAAATAGTGACAAATAATTCAACATTCGTTACAAAGTCTCTCGAGATTATGATTTGCATTCATAAAATGCCAGGATGTACTTGAAATAAAAATGTTGTATCTGTTTTTACTTCAATTAGCCAACATTACTGGGGTATTATTTCATGCACTGGAGTAAAGCCAGGTTTCATTATATTCCTCGTGCGCGTTCAGTGAAAGCTACTGATAACAGCATAGTTTGGATATTTTACATTTTAAATATACACGGAGTTGAACGGTAAGTAAATATTTATATATCCGTTATAGTAATATTATAATTTTAATGTTAGAAAGTAGCTTTTAAAAATATTTTACTATTAACTAGCTACGTCTAAAAAATGAAGAATTTTTGAAATTGTTTTTAGCATTGCAAGTTGTTTAGAGCTGTCAGCTTCAAAAAAGGTCGAACGTGACGGCATGCCTGTCTGCTTTTATATCAGTGACATGATTCATTCTTTTTTCTTGCATATCAGACTGGCGTTTCCGTGAGTTTTACCCATGCCGGAAATTTCATCTGGCATGGGGGGTTCCAGATGAGTCGCGTGCTGTACAATGGCACGGTTAGGATGACGTCATTTTACCGTTACATATTATGAAGTTGTAATTCATACGCTGTTGCAAGAAAGTAGTTACGGTTGTAATGATATAAATTTTCATTGAAAATAAAGATAAAGAATTTAATATATAATGGAATATGGTAGAATATGCAAGAAAAAATATCTGACATATGTTTGCGGTTCGGATCGGAATATCCGTCCCTCGGTCACCCGCCCATGGGCGGTAACTCGGCAAGCCTCGTTACCGCCCAATGGGCGGGTCACCTCGGGACGGATATTCCGATCCGAACCGCAAAATATGACAGATATTATTAATCAAAGACTGATATTAATATGATATTAAAAGAAATTACTCGTACTTTTTCTCATATTTATAGATCAAATATTTTAAAAACATCAGCAATGGCGGACATGATGAGTGAAAAGTGGATGATTGCATTTAAATTGGTGGACTTTAATCAAGATGGTGTCGTCAATGTTAAAGACAGAGATGATTGTATTCAGTCATTTCTCAGCGTCTTTCAACCAGGAGATGGCCGGAAACAAAAGATGACGAATCAGCTGAATGAATTCTGGGATAAAATTGTCTTCCTAACAGAAAATCCGGATTGGAGTAAAGCATTAACTCCTGATGAGTTTCTAGCAACACGTAAAGATGCCTACACTAAAGATTCTACAAGAACCACCACCGTAGTGCGAGATGCCTTAAAACAACTGATTAATGCTGGAAATGTTGACGAATCTGGTCACTTTACTTACGAGGAATTTAAAACACTACATGAAGCGTTTAATCTAAAAGAAGAGAACCTGGTAAAGGGTATATACAGTATGATTGGTCCTGATGCAAATGGAAAAATTTCTGTTGACAATGTTGCAGATTTCTATACAGAATTAGCGATGGGGAATGACGAAGGGAAACATGCACAATACAAAACTGCTCTTGCATCAGTTGGATTTGTGTGACGCTTCTGACAATATAATACGACCAAAATTAACGTTGAAACAAAAAAGTCTTTAATCTAACTTATACTTGTGAGTCTATACATGCTTTACACGCTTTGATTCTAGAATCTCTTGTATATAGCATATATTAACTGAATACGAAGAAAATGATATTGCATTTTTATATATAAAATGTAGATCGGAGATAAATGCATAATGAATAAAACTTAGTGTGTTTAATGAACGTTTTGTTTGACGTAATGTATTTGAAAAAAGAATATCAAACGTTTCGCCGTGTCATCGTTTTAATGCTTTGGTCAGTGTATGATAGCATTAAACATATCTGTGTAAAAAGCAGATTGATTCAAATCCATTCATTTCCATGTGAATTTATTGGATTATTTTAAACCTAACTGGATTATTTCAAACTGTCTAAAAAAAACCAACAACTGAAAAATCGAGTTTGAAGGTTCCATATAAGTTGTTCAAAGAATGAAATCGGAAAGGAAAGTTTATTTTGATGTTTCAATATAAATAGTTTATAAGAATATCAATTGATATGTACGCCTTGTGTGCATTGCAAATGTAATGAAAATACAGTTTTATAATTTTCTTTAAATGTATCTTTGTACTGTAACGCAAGATAGCTAAACTACCTTCACAATTAGCTGAACATCTTTACATTCATATTTCTCATGTTATTGTCAAGGAGATGTTTAAGAACACTTTTGAAAAAGCACCTGATATAAAAGTTAATGAGCCATTTCTGCTTTGGTTTTAATTACCTTTGCTACTTAAACAAGATAAATGTAGAAAAGGCACCATCTGCCAAATTTATAAAAAAAAATACTTGCGATTTTTTTTTCTTTCTTGATAAAGGTGTATGATTTTGTATTCTGAAAGAAATAATTGATTGATTCTCCTTCATTTTAAGAATTTTAGTTTAAACATATTTTATTGCATCAAATACATGTCAAATGATATACAAATGTTTATATAACAAAATGCAAATGGGTTGGGCAACACGTTCTAGCAACATTAGATTAAGCCTTTCCCAGAAATTATTTGCATAAATTAACTTAAAGAAACTCTGAATTTAGATAGTGTTTGTCATATAACATGTGTTTTGCTACCTTATTTTATACATTTACATTGAATTCTAGTAAAATTGTGATGTTTCACAATGAAGAATATATCCTAAAAAGAAAGCAACATTTCAACCGCAATGTATCCATTCAAAAAAGACACATCTTGATGGAATGGTATATATTCATCCACAAAAATGTTTAAATACCTACGTTTGCTAAAATAATTCACAAACTTGTATACTTCATGCGGGAAAAAATAAATTTTGACCCCGTTGAAAATTGATCTCAAGGGTGATTTTGCAAGAGAAAATGACCCTGCCAACATTTCAACATTAATTTTTGATCAAAAAGTCGTTGAAATCTGATCAGTCCGAAAGACGGGTGCGTGCTCAGTCATTCAGGGTAAGACCCTGATCCCACCCAGATCCGACCGTGTTAATTCCCATTTACATTTACTATTTTGGAGTATCTCACAGTCATAAGCTTAGTTTGATTCAATTCTGGAATCGTGTTCCTCTTATGCATTTATAAGTCATGATTAGTCATGTGTATAAAACAACGGGGCCTGTTTTGTCACACAGCTTCAACTTCGTCGAAAAAAGCTATCACTTCAATATGCAACTAGAATTTCATCAAATAGCAAAAATCCAGCCAAAAATATTATTTTCAAACCACGTTATATTGAAAAATTTGTTAACAAACCAAAGGAAATTAAACCATTAGGCCTTCGTTTAAAAGATGATTTAGATAAACTTAAAATTAATCCTGTCAGTATCCTTCAAAATGACGATGAGGATGTTCCACCTTGGACTTATAATTCCCCTGAAATAAATATTAACCTTTCAAATATAAAAAAGTCATCAACTTCACATGAACATTTCAAAGAGAAGTTTCGAGCAATTAAGGAAGAACATGAAAATTTTATACATATTTATACGGACGGTTCAAAGGAAGGTTGCAAAGTAGGTGCGGCTGTGTATGAAAATGATTTTACATCTAGTATGAGGTTACCAGATAATGCATCAATTTTTACTGCTGAAGCAAAAGCTATAGATTTAGCACTGTCATACATAGAACAGCATACCCATGATAAATTTGTGATATTTTCTGACTCGCTTTCTGTTTTAATATCCATTAAAAATAAAAAAAATCTGACAATATCATGATAAAGAAACTTCTTTTACGATTTCATGAGATACTTAAAATAAAATCTGTTAAATTATATTGGATTCCAAGTCATGTAGGTATACGAGGAAATGAAAAAGTAGATGCTTTAGCTAAACAAGCATTAAATTTTCAAAAAACTGACTTATTGTTACCTGCTTGTGATTTTAGAACGGCTATAAACAAACTCGTTTCATCTGAATGGAAAGCAAATTGGGACAATGTCGTCTTTAATAAACTTCATGATATAAACCCATCTCTTGATGTGTCACCATCTCTGTCTTTGTCAAACCGCCATGATCAAACAGTTCTTCTTCGATGCCGAATTGGACACACTAAACGTTACCCATTCTTATCTCCTCACGAATGACACTGCCCCTTTCTGTGTAGGTTGTAATGAAAATTTTACTGTCAAGCATTTTCTTCTGGAATGTCATGATTTTTCACAGGCCCGTAACAGATTTTATAATGTAAACTCACTCAAAGAACTCTTTAATACAATTCCATCAAAAAACATCATCGATTATTTGAAAGAGATAAACTTGTATTCAAGGATCTGATTGGCTCTTTTTTTATTATCATTTACAAAGTTTTACATAATATTTTAAGCCTATTATAGCATTCGGCACGATATGGCCATTTATGTGTTGACGTGCAAAAATCCAAACAAACAAAACAAACAGATATATGATAGATTTAAATATATAACCCGGATGTAGTAGATCAGATACGTTATGTTCATTTTTTAACTAGTGTAAAGTGTTTTAAATAATTATGACCAGGGGCGTATCCGGGATTTCAAGTTAGGTTAATATTTTTTTTAAAGTAGGCAGACAGTTCAAAAAGTAATGCACATTTTCAATGTATGGGAAGGAGTAAAATGGTGCATTCTTGTTACTTTTGTGTTCGTGTCCTACCTTATTTAATCAATCAGGGGTTTGTGATAGAAAAGTTGATTTCATAAGGTTTTTAGTTGTGTAGCTAAATCAAAATTGATAGTATACATAATCTTACGTGTTTGGGAGGGGACTAATTCTAAATTTTAGAGTATCTTTTTCATGTCAGTTGTTTAAAAGGGTGCGAAAATGATTTAATTTTTAAAAATTTTGGGGAAATATATTTTAAATTCCTTTAAAAATTGTCGTGATTTAAAAGGCCTTTCCCGGGTTCCATCCATTTGAATTTCTTGTGATGACATTTAATTCTACGGAAAAAATTTAAAAATGATAAAAGAAATATTGTTTACTATCACGTTAGAGCATATGCATAATGCTTTAAAACCTTTAACTTACAAAAATTTTTAAACGGGGCACTTTGAATTTATAAAAAAAACCCCCAAGAAAGATCTATTTTATGAAAATCTTCGCCCCAAAATTTAAATATTTTTATCAATATAAAATTATATTTATTTTTTTATCAATTGTACGTTACTTCAAAGTGGTGTTTTTAGGAAATTGGATTAAAATTGCCTTAGCAGCGATGGTAATGATACGCCGACTTGAATACTCCGATGGAAATATATATGTACATGTCCTGAATGTTTCCAGGAAAATAATTCGCGATAATTACTATACTTGCTATTATATTTGACATATTCCCTGTTCTAAAGCTACTTCCCCAATTCAGTCTGTCGTACTTAACATATGTTTGCTGACATGGGTTTTAGATATATGCAACATTTACCTTAGGTTATATCTAAATTTGGTATGTATATATAATTCCTATTTTTAAAAAGATAAACTTAAGCTATGGATAGGTTTCTTTTGAATTATAATTCTTACTTCGGTAATGAATATATTGGACTTTGATAAATAAATTTTACATTTATCGTGTCGGAAATTTATTGTGTTTGTGTTGAAACTTCACAAGACATCAACATCAACGTACAATGGTTTAAATGTCATACGAGTATAAAAAGATATGTTCGTTATATCCTGACTTGCATTTATCGGAAGTAACATATTGTTTAAATACTTTAATCTTTCTTTAACTGTATTATGATCAATGTTTAAATACTAAAAATGTGTGTCTTTAATTAATGTAATTCTTAAAAAATTCATTCCAAATGATCAACATATTTGTATTTATCTGCTTATAACGTATGTCTCTTATTGCATATTTATTCTCAAACGGTGTTCATTAAAGTCGCCTGTTTCTCTGCGTGTTAGCTGATGCTTGAACTAAAAAAAACCCTTCACACAAATGAATCAAGCACGTGCAATAATTCAGAACCTTCTTTAATTCAGCCATTGTGCTTTATTTGCTACATTCCCTCGACTTTACCAAATCAGAGGAGGACACATGTGGCCAATATAAAAGTTTTCTTGAAATAATGCACAAATGCAGACGACACAAGCAAGCGAATATTGTAATACCGAGTTAATTGCGGGATATTCCAATGGTTTAGTTGAGCTAACGGAAACTGAACTGGAGAAGGATTTAGCAGCATATTGCAGGTAAGTTTTAAAAACCATTCATTAATTATTTCTCATTCACCGTTGTTTTTTTCAGGTGGCAATCATATAATATGTAAAATTAAATTAAATTAAACACATATTTGCCATTTTGATGACAACATGACAAAATTGTACTCATTTTCAAATCATTATGTTTTAGAAAGGTATAAAATAGTAACATCTTAAAGAAGGAAGCACACGAAAAATATACCATAAACAAAGAACATATCTGAATTTCAACTGTGGTCTTCTGACATATAAGGTTCACGTGTTGTGAATGCTGATCATCAACTACTCTTTTTCTGTTCTATGTGCAATGTATTAATTCATTTACAGAAACATAACACCGATGTATGCAAAATGTATCGAGAAGTCAGCAGCAATGCAAAATTGTCACAGCTCCCAATACATTTTTGATATAAAGGAACTAACCACCGACTGGCTGTCCATATACTGCAACAATGATGATATAAGCGACTGGCTAAAAGAATGTAAGCTTTTAGGACATTTTCGAAGTGTATGTGCTGAAGTGTGGTATTGCCAAACATCGAATATGATAACAGTGTGTATTGAACATATCGCCAAAAGCAAATGGCTGAATACATTTGCACATTTTTCTATGTTTATTGTTGATTTCTTCTAAAATCCGTGATAGGGGTTGTTAGCTTATACTTTAGTACCGTTCATGAAAATGATCGGTCAAACAGATCTAGCAACATTTTCAATTACTTGTCGTTTTGGGTGTTCTTTTGGGATTCCTTTATTTTCTGTTTCCGACGAATCTACAAAAAATGTTATACCATTGTAGTTAAATATCCTTCATGTCATATAATTTCTTTCCTAGCCATTAGATATAAAACCTTATAATCTAGAAAATTCGTCCTTTTTTCCACATTCATATGATGTAGGCAAGGTAGGAAAAGGATGCTTTAAGATAAGAGAATTTTATGTTTCATGATGACTTGATTTAGAAGCATATTTCTAGTATTGTCTATCGGTGTATGTGTGACAGATAACATGAATTTCTACAGACATTAAATAGATTGTCTACTCTCCTTTAGTTTCAACACGTAAGAGCCTATTCGTTGTTTCTTCCATTTCATTAAATTTCAAAATATCTACATGTTAGTTTGTCTAGAACTGTTGACATTGAATCTTTTTTCTCAGATTTAAGACACGGCTTCCGCTACAAAAACACATGTGGAAGAAACGATATTTGCTACACTTGCTTTTTTGATCTTGTCTACAACAGAGGTATTATTCTTAATATCAAAATATAGAACTGTTTTAATTTCCTTGCTATATAGTTCTCGCAATAGGCATTTTCTTTTAAGAAATGGTATAGTTTACATGATTGACACAGTTATAATTAATGCCATATAGATATCTCTAATTTTAACCGACGTTTACACTTACTAACAACTATAATGTACTAAATGTATATAAAATTGATTTAAATTCTGCAATACAAACGTTTGATACAAAGCGGTATAGCAGTATAAAAAAAACTACCTTTTCTTTTGGTTTGATTAATTCTAACAAATTGTATATTCCAAATTTATCGTCAATTGGTCAATTCTTGTTTATTTTACTTTATTTTTAAAGGAAATATAAAAGGCTTAATTTATATAAATTTATATGTTATTTTATAATCTTTTGTCTTTAATTTAGACGAACATATATTCACTGGTGAAAATATCAGGGATTACAATATATGGGCAAAAAGGTAATACTAGATATTTTAGATGTAAATGTTTCTTTGTTTTCTTGCTTAGTGAACTGAGTGATTATTTTCCGAAATGAACTCCCTTACATTGTTCCTTTATATACTTTGTACATAATATTTATAAATATGACAAGCTTCATAACTCCATTGTTGAGTGAGTGTTAAGTTATGACGACAAATAAAGGTGTATAAACCGATATATTTGCTAGAAAAAAAATGTTATTTGAACTTTGAACAAATATTACACTTCCACATTACCTGTAAGTAAGAAATATGTTTGTATAATTCCTCAAGAGCGAATGGCGCATTGCAAGAAATTATTGCTAAACACTTAAAACCATACTTAAGATAAAAGTAAAAAAAGTAATTAAATAATATTTTATTCTGTTTACATACAATATGTATGTGTGTTTAATAACATATATATTATGTTCAATCATGACACAACTTTTTCGATAATTAAACGTTGATGAAAACAACATATGATTACTGATTTTACAATTTATTAAACATTCATTAAATATAATTGTATACCCTTTAAAAGAAAGCTGATAAACGATATAGATTATACTTACTTGTATATTGCTAACTACAGCTTCATTACATTCAGCGAAAAATGTAATACAAAAAATGACCGCATTAACCTTATTATGGACAAAAATATAACACAGTTATTTTTTTTCAATGATAGATTGACTGCTGATTGGTTTGCCTGCACCAAGGAGAAACTCCCTTTGACCCAAGCCTCGTTTCCAGATTGTACTTCTAGTTGGCAGGATGTCTTATTTCTAACCTTCCTGTATGAGTCTGCTCGTTTTAATCCAGGACTGCGACTTTATCAGGACCAAATGACCCAAATCTTGGTGAGTATGGAATAGTCTTATTATTCATTTACTAGCATTAATGGCAACAAAGACAAACATGTTTGAAATGCAAGATGTGTATCGTTTATGTCCAATGGTCATATTCTCATTTTCATTGAATGAATGTAAGTCTATGTTGCAGTTTGAGAAAAAAGAATTTATTTACTATATTAAAAATTATTATTCTTGCAATCTTGCAGTTTGAGAAAAAGAATTTATTTACTATATTTAACATTTCAACAACTTTGAGTATGTAACACTTTGAATTTGTAACATATTATTACTTTTTCTAGTGCTTGCATATCATCAAAAAATCATAGTTTTTTTTCAGAATTTGAAGACTGCTTCATCCATACCATTGAAATAATTGTTCCAGTACATATACATCAACAGTTCAACATCAGGCATAAATTGAACAACAAGACTTAAAAGTACGACTTGCCCAAACACAAGTTGTGTGTTTTCATAGGATTGATGCAAGTTATGAATTCAAGAAACATGTAACATATATTCAAATTACTGTTTCGAATAGTAAAACTACAAAATTAGACATCTTGTATGCAAAACAAAGTTCAGTGCTTGAATGAAGTCTTTATTTACTACTGAATTTTTTTATATGTAACCACTTTACAACATTATAATAATAATACTTTATTATTTGAAATTTGAAACCAGTAATAGATGTTTGTCTTGAAATTTTCAATATGTCTTCAGTATCAATGGACATGAAATTCTAATGACTTATTTTCTTATAAACGACACAAATATTAAAGGTTTCACTCTTTTTTATTTTCGTTAGTGATAAAAGGTTAATGTAGATTAAGATTTTATTCCAATTATATTCAAGCAGAAATAGAACATTAAAAGTTTTAACTAAAATGTTAGATAGTAAAATAAAATATTAGATAAACAGAAACATGTACACATTTTTTAAGGAAATATCGTATGAAAGTACAAATAATAACAATAAATGTTGCAATATCTCTTAATTTGGTGTTCTTTTTTATTTTCTTGGTAGCTCATACCGCAGTTTGGCCCACAATAATCTATCAGTCATTTTGAATACCTTTCTTTCCTTCATTTTTGATAGCCACGGCTCCTTCATGGCATTCATTCTCATATCTTCATCATACAAGAGATAGATAATTCGTCCACAATTATGTTCCAAGGTTTCGGAATGACTTATTTCATAGTCAAACCATTTATGGTTTTCGTACCCTGCGCTCAAGATGAATAGTATGCGCTTACTGTCATCAATCAATTGGAATCTGGCTTCAGTTTCAGGACCGGTAGGAGCATTTCTCGCATATATACTCAGTTTATAATTCGGCTTTTTACGTTCGAGTTGCTTCAGCAACACTTTCATTACCCATTGTCTGACATAAAGATCATTGTCATCAAAAGAAACATACATGTGGTAACATTTATCAGCGTACTCGTCGACTTTGTATTTATCAAACGCATGGATGTTAAAAAATTTGAATATAAGCACTTTAGTTTCGTATGGGCATCTTTTAGCTGTTATAATCACTGCAACAACAATTCCTAAAACGAATGACAATATAACAATAAGAGCGACGCTTGCTTGTGGGCAGTTCAAAACACTTTCATCAAGATCAAGTATTTTCAAAACATCCCCTTCGAATGTACAGCTCAAAGCCCTTTTATCGATGTAACTCGGCGCTGCTCTAATCCAGTCAACCATCCAAATCATATTACACGAACATTCCAAATTATTTCCTGTGAAGAGAGCATTTTGAAACTTTATTTTCTCTGTTGATTCAGGAATAGCCCTCAGAAAATTGTTCCGAAAGTCAACAAATGCGTCCTTATTATTTGCTATTTTATTCATGACAGAATCTGGTAAACTGGTGACAAAGTTGTTGGGCATTGACAGTTTTGAAACGTATTTCAAATAGTCTGCATCATTTATATGTGAAATTTTGTTATTATCTAACTGAAGTGCAATGTTATTATAAGGACTTCGTGGAACAGAAGACGGCATGCTTGTCAAATTCAAACCACTACAATCGACATTTAAAATGTCCTCGGCTGGTCGATCCTCACACAGGCATCCTACTGGACAGTCATCTGTTATGTTGCAAACAAGTTCTCTAAAAAATACCTCATAGAAAAGTAGTTTTCCTCGTAATTTTGGAGGATCATGACAAACTAATTGAAGGTAATCGTATCTTGACCCTTGCTCGATCGATGTTCGGACCTTTCTATATATGTTGTAGAAGTTACAGTCACAAGTTAAGTTGTTTTCACGAATGTCTAATAGCAGCTCTATTACAACAGTTTTAACATCGTCATTTCTGTCTTCAGACTGGTTTTTATACTGCATGACATACCAGTCGTGCCATTCCGTAATTGAATTGTACCTCAAGTCTGTAGTTGCCTGTAATTATTGCGAATCATGATCAAAACGTAAAACATAAGTAGTTATAAGTTCAACAAATGTTATGCAATAATATGATATAAAACGTATTAGTTAAACGAATATAATAGATACATAATGGTTTCCATGATGAACTATAGTTTCTTTTAAAGTTGAAAATCGCTTTATTGTGAATATTCTATTTTTCTAATATAGAATGTATTTGACAAAGTGTCATAAAAGTATTTCAGTACATTAAGAAACGTATTTGGGTTTTATATACAATTGAAAACAATAGTCAGTGCTTCCATTTACCAATAAATTTACTTGATAAAAGTATAATTTATTTTCGTTAAGAAATTTAAGTGAAAGTTGTTTTTGTTTTTTGTTCTAATGTGCACAGTTCAGACGACCCTTCTAAATTATGAATTTTACATCATATACATATGGAAATGTTAAATTCTGTTTAAGTCGGTGTTATGGGACGTTTACGTGTAGCGGGCATTTACAACACGTCTCCATTATTTCTATGTTGGACAATAAAAAATCAGATTTACCTCATCCCTCACGTTTCTCCGTGTATATGTCCAGTTATGGTCATTGGTAAATGTTGAAATTTTGTTAAACGATGCATCCACCAAGCGTATTGGATGTCCTACATAGGCCCATGGTTCGAATGCTGTAAGCTGATTATGTTGAAGTAACACTGTATCTAAACTTGGCATACAAAAATTACTAAACACTGTAAGAGGAATGTTTTTGATCTTGTTGTAAGAAAGGTCTACAGTGATAAGGTCTGTCTTGTTTTTGAAAAAGTCTTGCGGAATCTCAACAAGTTCGTTATGATGAAGATATAGATGTTTCAGACATTGTAAACTACCAAGAGCGTCCGTTTCTATCAAATTAATTTTGTTATTACTCAAATCAAGCATTTTAAACCTAAAACTGCTGTTGATGAATGAAGCTGTTTGTATTTCCTTAAACATGTTGTCAGACATGTTGACATCTTTAGCGCTACTGCAATTGGACAACCACTCAATATTTATTTCCGTATAGTTCGTGCCAATCATTTCAAAACGGTTTTTATCCAAACAAACGCACAGTGTACTGTTGATATTATAGAAAACTATAGTAAAAATTACTATAATAATTTCAAATATCTTCGTCGTCATTATTCTTCTCTTGCAATCTACTTTATAACCTTTGATTTAGATCTGAAAAATATTTAAATGAAGGAAACAATTGTCTCAAAGCGCAGAAACTTGAGGTGTGGAGCTCAAAACGCTTTTAAATTCAAAATAAAATGTATATTTGTCAATCCCAGCACAAAACTTAATATAAAAAACTTGAAACAAAGTGATCGCTCGGAAGCATAAATCACAAAAAAATTACAAAAGAATTGCAGACTCGGTTTGATTGAGTCTGTACATGAGGAATAATGAAAATGTGCAACATCCCTCACGCCCCCTAGCACCGGCTTGAGCGGTACTCAATTGTCAACACTTAACAGTGCTGGCATCAATGATCCCGAAGGACCAGAAAAATATAACAACACTGAAATGAAGTACGGGGCAACTTTTTACAACTGCCACACAGCACTTGACACCTGCTGTTGTGAAGTATAAAAATCTGGAAACAAAGTGATCCCTCTGAGCCATTTTGAAAAAAAAAAATCATATTTCAACGTCTACAATTACATATACACAAGATAAAAATGTTCGCCGGTAAAATTCCGCACACCTACTGTTTAAATATGATAAGTACATATGCTGGGATTGACAAATATACATTTTATTTGGAATTTAAATGCGTTTTGAGCTCCACACCCCAAGTGTCTGTGTATCAAAGCAAGATTTTAAAACATTATTAAATGTGCTAAATTACATTTACAGAGATCTGCCGAGGACGCGATTTTGCGCCATTGGCGCTAAAAAAATGAGAATGGCGCAGGAAAATTGGCAGCAAAGGGCCATGGGCGCATCTAAAATCTGTGCCAGACTTATAAGAAAACAAAACTGTCTGCTGGGTTATTTAGTCATCCAGTCAAAACTGGTACCAACAGCAACATGTTACCCATGCTATATTCTTGAGTTTATCCATTACCCTATAGCTTTTGTCCATGTTATCTACTTACCGCATTTCTTCTCCACACAGATACTCATTTCTACTACCGTAAATTTAATCCAATAAAACAAACAAACAAATTATACAACTACTTAATATTTAAAGGATTATCGGTAACTGAAAAAAAAGTGTTGCTATTTTAAGAAATGCTGTAAGTTACAGTATAATCTGACAGGTGTTCAACTTGATCGACCCTAAGGTCACTCAAGTTCACGCATGTTTTGGCTGATGAAGTGTAAAAAAAGATGTATATTTCGTCATCAGAATGTTTGACAGGGTGATTAACCAATCAGAGAAACATTGTGCATGACTTTTTTCATGATCAAAAGGTCTGTCGGCAAATGTCTTTGATGTATGCTGTCTACACAGAGGCATACAAGGGGCAATAAAATTCGTCAATATACAGTGGTAAGGGACATTTGGTGCAAAGTAGGAACAATTAAATGGATAATGCACAAAATAAGACATTACAAGTAAGAACCAGCAATTATGTGAATAAATTTGCATATCAAATTTTTGAGCAGCCATTTAAAAAATATTTTCATTTTTGCCTGCAATTAATATTAGTTAGAAAGTTACCATGTAGGCATAATTTTTAATTATTAGTAAAGTACTGAATTATAAGTGAACCACTTGTCATAAAATTTGATTTAAGTTTTATTACCGGGGAAATTCAATTATCTACAAACTTTTTAACAGTTATTTTGGTCAATATTTACTTATTTTCCAAAGGCCCATACTTTGGTAAAAATGGCCCATCATTTTCAGACCAAGTGGGCCCAGGGCCCAGTACTTTCAAATTCTTGGCAGATCTCTGCATTTATTAAATATGCCAAATTCTAACATTCGTAGCGCTGAGTCGTATCATTCTTGCTTGGTACACAGTGTATAGTGAATAATTAGTATTTACAATCATTATACATCCAGGCCAGTCTGCATTTCTGTGAAGTTTAACTAGGCTCATTACTGATCGCTGATCAACTTAAAATTTTCTTGATGTCCCCAAAATTTGGTCATGATCAGGTCCGAAAGATTTAAGATATCAAGCAGGTAAAGTAAAGTCACGCCATTTAAATTGACATGACAAAAATTTAGATAAACAAAAATGCATTGTAAAGTTGACTCAAATGTTAGAGATAAGTTTTAAAACGTATGTTTTACTTGATAATTCATGATAAATGATTTAATTGATTAAGTACAAGGTGTTTCAGACAAAGAAGTTGTTCCTCTTTGATTTTATGTCATTCTTTGATAAACTCGAACAGGGAAAGGGGTTTGAGTATATTTCAGCTGAGTTATTTAAACAACCAGCTGCGATAAGGTTTCGCTATTACATTGGTTAAATACACACAAAACAAACACAAATAAAATTGTCAAACTTTACTTAATAACATATTTAAGATGATAAAACGTATTTCAATTGATAACAAAAATGTTTTGAGGCTTTATACTAGGAAATTTAGATATTCAATGATTAGATGTTCATTTTATTGGTAAAAAACTTTGGTTTAATTGCAGATACTTTGTTTCAAATTTAAGTTGTACCATAAAACAGCTTTCTCTATCATAAAGTCTCTACCAAGAATAAACAAGAAATAATCAGCATATAAGGCGTTGACATTAATAGTTTTACAAAACCAAGCTTGATTTTTGACAGGCGATTATTTCTTTTTTAGCCAAATCTCAATAAATGTTTCAAAAAGGTATAAAGCATCGTTCGATGGTAAGATTACGTATTTTAAGTTGGTTTAATGACATTTTCTTAATACACATTGTATGTTTTGGACACACCAGAACCGACAACGGGAAGATTATCTCGACGAAAAATGGGTAATTATAGTGTAAAGTTAGGAGGGTTTCGATTTTCCTTTTATATCTTTGAATTTTCAATAAATGTTTAAAAAGTTAAAAACCTCTGATTCACATACGAGTATGGTGTTATAGTGCACATCTGAATCACTAGAATTTCAAATAATATTATATATTTTTTATTGATGCTCAATTTTAAGATATGGGGTTCAACCCTCACCCCTTATATTCCCTCCCCGGATAATTATTTCTTAAAACGTTCTGATTGTATTATTGTGATGTCTATGAGACGCTCAGACATACATTTGTGGTAGATCGATGAAAGCTGAACCATAACAATGCAAGACTCGAAAGTAATTAGCAATTGCCACAAGAATTGGTTATTCATATAGCTATATAAAATTACTTATACGTTATTATGTATCCATTTTTCATTATGATCAAGTATAATATACATTATTCAAGTGCAAATATAATAATGATTTACTCGTCAATAACATAAGCTGAATATACATTACACAAGTATACCTAGCAAATATCTCAAATGTCTTACCAGAAACATAACTTCCTATTCATTCAGGTAATGTTAGAAAACTAAAATATTTTAACTGTATAAGACCAAACATGTTATACCAGTCTTGATATTGATCATCCATTTATTTAGTTTCTTCCTGTATAAGATAAAAGGTCCCACTCTCGTAAACAATACACATAACTGATAAAATATCAATACAAAACTCTAAATTTTCAGTTAATTTAACTGATAACAAATCCAACCGACACAAAACTTTAACCGTTATATTAAAAGATGTCTTTTATTTTGGCGCAAACTTATTTTGGTGTCTTTATGGTCAAAGATAACGTTAAATCTTGTTTCGGAAATAAACAAATATAAATCAGCACATTCATCACAGATCATGTATTTCACACGTTCATCTTTCGCTGTCATCGATGCGATTAGGTTTTTTTTTATGTTTTATATGGTGACTGATGTGTGCCATTTCGTGGTTTCGACAAGTTAAAATGGCGGGGGCGCGAGGGAGAAGTTGAGATTTAATTGTAATACGACGGGGCCGCGAAACAAAATATTTATTGTTATAGCGAAGTTAAAAGGACAAAAAACTGATTCCCGCTTGAGTTGCATTATCATTGTTCTTGGTTTACATTACTGTTGTTGCATAAAAAATCAATTCCAAATCGTTGATAAATATTAAATAAGGAAATGACATATTTTTGTAGTCTGCCCTTTAATAAAAGTGTGGGCAGCTTTGTCACTTTCTCGTAAGAGAGGGGGGATTTTTAATGCGTGTATATGGTCGCACGGTCACTTTCCTTATATGTCCTCGATGTCGAATGGTCGAAAAACTCTAATGACAATGCTTTCTTAAGTGTTTTGTTTCGGAACCTTTTGTTACAAAATCTTATTTTCTATTTTTTTTAAAAAAAACTATTTAACTTGTAATAAGGAGTTTAATTAAGACTTTGTTACTTTTTTATGAGTTTTTAAAAGCTTTATAAGGACTCTTTCGCCTTTAATTCGGAGTTATAAAAACAAAATTCAAAAATAGAAGAGATAAAAGAACCTTTATTACTACACGTTACAAATTATTTGGATTTTCTACTCATACTTACTAAAATGTAACTTTGTAACTCTTAAAAGGAGTTATAAAAGCCTAATTAGGAGAATTAAAATATTATTACATGTAGGAGTTGTAAAGCAAAATCTTTATTAGGACTCCTTAAGTCCTAACTTGTTGCTTTAAAAGCCTAAATAAACAAACTTCTAATTAGAAAAGTTCTTATTAGTTTTTAGACTTTAAAACGTCAAACCGACTTAGTAAGGTTATCATTATAGTGACTTCCTATCTTTACTTGTGGAGGAAGACCTCTGGTGCCCCTCCTTGCACAAATTGGAACCATCATAGTTAGGTAAGCCAGCTGGACATCTTCCTCGCATGGAAAAAAAATCTTGAGTCCTTGGCGGGATTCGAACCCACAGCGGTAAGGGACAAGAAAATGGACATAAATCTCGCTAGAAATTTGCAAAAGTACGTAAAAGATGAATGATATATGTACATACATGTAGCGTGGTTACATAAGTTATACTTAAATCAGTAATATTTACATTTTTTACATTTTAATTGCAAACAAAATGGATATTTAATGTGGTCTATGATAGAAAGTATGCAGTACTTTAATACCAATGTATAGTATTAATTATCAAATGTGATAACGAATAATGAAAGAATTTAATGTTATTAGTAAAATCATGTAGACCAAAACATTGATAATGTTCTTTTTCGTTTGTATCATAGACAAAAATAAAAGCATGTTCCCTGTTGTCACAATATGAAATCCCAGAAAAAATAACCAATGAACGAGCAGGGATTTAATATTGTGACAACAGGAAACGTGCTTTTTATCTTCGACTATGATACAAAAGAGAAAAAACATTATAACACTACGCTGCCTCGTACAAATCATATAGCCTCTTGTTTCGGTGCTCTTTCTATTAAGCCCCATTTACACAGTTCCGGTTTGGCGTCACGGTTTAGTCCACCGGGATCAACCGGCGTAGGGCCGTATCGATTCCGAGAAGTACCGGGACAAACCGAGAGATCGCCAAGGTTGTATTAAAATGTTTAATACAACCGGGGCTCACCGGCAATCACCGGAAAGGAAGCCCAGAACCGTGTTGGAACAGTATGTTATTATCAATGGAAACGTTTGCACAGAAGTGTATTTGGCGTACTTTGTAACTACAAAGCAGTTATCTAGTTGTAGTATCACTATTTTTTGTTTAGCTCTTAGCATACATCTATCGCTTAAAATGGCCAGTACTTTACCATAGATACCACAGCCCTTTCGATTTTAATGTCATCAATTCTACCGACTATTCATCCAGTCAAAGGGCAATATGCGACATATCTTAACTTTAGACGCTTTTGGCTCTAACAGCAGAATGTCATATGTATGATAGAGTTCCTTTGTAATCTCTACAAGTGTCTTTGTAAAAACAATATATGTAGAAACACTATCTTTAGAATTTACTTCCTATCACAGTTTTCTTCTTCTTATTTTGTTCTAAATGTATATACATATTCCGTAGTAGGTTATTACACGAAGTTTTGAAATACCAATGTGAATCATGCTATAGAAAATTATAATGTATTATTGCTTTAGTTAGTTCTTTTCAACTGTCATTAATTATTTGTATAAAAAGAAACAGGATGTGCATGTGTGTCGAATTAATACCGTTTTTCTACCTAGTGTGTTATCTTTATAATGGATTGTTACACCAAAACATTTACGTTCATATACCTTTCTTCTTTCAACGAATAAATTGTTAACTTTAATTTTTGTCCTGGTACGTGAAACCGAAAGCAAAAGCGATTAGTACTTTCAAACAATGGCAGATCATCCTGCATCACCGTGCAATCTGCTTACTAACTATGGATTTCTTGTAATGTCCCATTAATCGTTTCAAAATGGAAGCTAGACAAGTCTAAGGGAAAGAACGCTTGAGTAATTTGTTTTTAAGCAGACGACATGCGTGTCTTCTTAATATTCTACATAATAATAATTTGTAAGCATTGGGTTACATAAAATATTTCATTTCTTTACATCCGTTTTAATTAGGACAAAACTATTTTCAAACATCTGAGCTTATACTAAAATATAAACTTAAATGGGTCAATTTGAAAGAACAGATGAAATAGTTCGATCTCCTTTGTCAAAATAGAAACAAATCGTAGTCATGTCGTCTGCTTTCTCTCTCAACATGATGCACAAAAAATAGAAAAAAAGTAACATTATCTATCTATAAGAAGTGATAGAATGTGGATTTTTTCCCGGCTTTGACTTTTCAAAATAAGAAAAACAAAGTAAAATATACATATAATACACGTATAATATTTTTCTCTAATCTAGGTTAATGGTCAAGAAACACTATATTATTAATATGTCTATCTTCTCCATAAATATTATACAACAAAAACCTTAACACACAAAATACAGAACGCAGCCATACTGGTTTCTTGTTTCAACTGTTTTATATGAAAGCACTTAACTACAGCTTGCTTAGTCAAAAGTTGACAACTTCATATGTTCTAAATGTTTATTGCACGCAACACAATTAAAACAAACTTAGCGGCTGAAGATTTTACATGAACCCTACTGATGCAAGGGCCGTTTTGGACTGCTGGTGCTTCCCTTCGTCACTGCCCATCGATAATTCTGTGTAGAAATCTGCAATATTGTCCGAGGTACATCTTCCACTATCATCAGGACCAACCATACTAAATATACCCTTTACAAAATTCTCTTCTTTGAGATTGAAGGCTTCATGTGCCTTTTTGAATTCCTCAAAAGAGAAAGACCCAACCTCTCCGATGTCCCCGGCGTTCATTAGTTGTTTCAAAGCTTCTCGGACTACGGCGATGGTTTTTGTAGAATCTTTAGTAAGTGCATCTTTACGTGTTGCTAAGAACTCATCAGGATTTAAAGATTTACTCCAATCCGGATTTTCTGTTAGGAAGACAATTTTATCCCAGAATTCATTCAACTGATTCATCATCTTTTGTTTCCGGTCATCTCCTGGTTGAAAGACGCTGAGAAATGACTGAATACAATCATCTCTGTCTTTAACATTGACGACACCATCTTTATTAAAGTCCACCAGTTTAAATGAAATCATCACCTTTTCACTCATCATGTCCGCCATTGCTGCACTGTAGTATGTACTTTGTTCCTAAAGCAATTACAATTATTAATGTAATTTTTGAGTATATGAGTGTATGTTATAGACGTAATTAGTTTAAAGTGTTTATATTTTAGCAGATACATTAATTTCCATTCATCTAAAAACTATAATGAATCTTTCTCTCTGTATATCGCTTAAAATTTTAACAAAAACTGCCGAAACACTTTAAACTTTCTTATTTCAAAAGCGCACAATCAACTCAAGATAAAGATCACCACTGTTTCCTGAAATCATTTAAAGTTTAACATTACTTAAAATACTTAAATGTTTATGATACTTAAATGTTATCAAATTGAGAAATTTATTCATGAAATATATGTTAAACTTTGTTGTACATTACTTACTGTTTCTTATAAACAACTTTTTAAAAATGTTATTGCTGTTATGAAATACTTACGTATATATAAAAAGAGTTAAAGTCCTGTTTGCACTTAGTTATTTTGTTCACCTTGCATTTATACAAAAGATATGGATATATATAAACACTGCCTATCCTTTGCCTTATAGTTATTCTTGTTTTAGTGATTACTGATAGAGAACAAAGACTGTTACGTATTCATTTCACAAATTCGTTTCATAATCCAACTTTCTGTGGTATTTCAAGTAACATGATTTACATATGTCTGTATACAATTCTCAACTTGAGGGTCAAATTACAAATGATTCATTCACGTTGCAAGGATAAAATCACGAAATACCACTTGTCCGCATCCTGCAATTAAACGATTCAAGTACAGTTTATGCATATGAAAGTACGTATCTATATTTATATTTTACTTCCGTTATACTTAGAAGCGGATATGCATGACTATGCGCGGATGCATTGATTAATGGGTTTGCATGTATAGGATTATAGGATGGGACTCATCATGCTATTAGTTTGTTTTGAAGGGGTATTCTTTCCTTGAATTATTACTACTTATTATTACTGTTCTACTATAAGTTCATGTTAAACGTGAATTTTTATTTTATTTGTCTATAGTAATGCATGTTTAGGTACTTCTGTACTTGGTAATGGATGTTCTTTATATTGAGTTTACCATGACTATGCAGAATTTTTCAGTGACTATCGACATAATTAACTGACAACATCTCACATACATCATGCGTAAATGACCATAATGCAAGGGTTTTTATGCTCCCTTAAGTACAATAAATTTCTTGGTCTTGAATGATACTGACGTTATTACATAAATATTATCAACATATGAACCAAAAACGAAAGTACATGCCACTTTTAGAAGTGCACATGTTATGTTTTGTACTGAATTGTGTATTACATTAGTTGAATAACATCTGGTGCTCACTCTGTGCAAAATTTTTTGATATCACATGAAAACAAACAAATATCCTGTATATAATAAGATACATTAAATTCTACATTTCAGAATAAAATTGCATTAGATCACTTTTCATTCAAACGATATCATGTAAATTTTAGTACGTTGAAACTAAATACAGATGTAAGGAGTAAAATGTTTTCACATTCCGTAATGAGTTTTTTTTAAGAATACATTTAAATATACCACTTTACCTACCACATAATATATAGATTATTATACCGACATTATCGTGCGATAATACATGGTAATTTATTTATACTTTGATTGTCCAGAGGCCATTTAATGATGTTGATAAAACAGTAGACTATTTCCAGAGACATAGATAAATACTTACAAATATCTTTTGGGTGATTATAAAGCAGTCAATTGGATGAGGAAAACACAAACTACTAATGCAACTCGTGTACCAATGAAGATAAATCTTAAAGTTAAATAATTGTAAAGTAATTTTCTGCATTAACCTCACATATGAAACAAAATGATATTTAAGGATCGTGAGGGTCGGGCAGCTTACCGGTATTTGCATAAAAACGCGGTGTCAATATTATCTTTCAAATCTAGTTTTCTGATAAAATTATCCATAAATACTCACAAAATGATTTGTGTTTAGTTTATTAAGCAAACAAATCGTACATAACTTTCAATTTCCAAACGACATTTACTTATGTATGTAAGGAGAACGTTGTTAAATAGATATAAAATTTGATTGGAGTAAATTTAAATTAACAGCTAATACCATTCGAATTATTTTTAAAGGATAAAACCCACTAAAAAATAGCCGAACCTTTTTTTCTGTTAGAAATTCTTTTTTAAAAAACGGAGACTTCTATGTAACGACTTTTATGCGGAACAAAGATAAGATTATGGAATCATTATGATTTTACTGTTGATAAATTATATAAAAATATTTCATAAGATATAGCTTTGTAAGGCCACATGTGTCACAAATCACATTCGTCACAATTGTGAAGAATGAGATCACATTCGTCACAAATTTTGTGATGCATGTGATCCAATGTTTTAGAACAATCACATTCGTCACGAGTTTTAAAATCACAAATGTCACAAATTTGAGATAAATATTGTTTTCTTCAATGCTTTTCACTGAGTCACAAACGTCACAAATTTTTAGGACTGAAATCAATTATTGGAACTAAAACTACAGACATTTTATCCCCTCCCCCGCTGATGAAATCGGAGTGATGGGACTGTTTTAGCGTGTTCGTCCGCCTGTCAGTCCAGATTTAGTTTCCGCACTATCCAGATT